AAAGTTTTATTTCGCTGGTCCTAAAAACCTGCCGGACTACTTTCGGCTTGACCAAAACTGGACGATAACTCTGCTCACAGGACGCTGCCAGGGGTAAGTCAGTGTGATTGCATGCCACTGGTGATGGGGATGCCATACAGATTCATGTCAAAAATACCGAACTATCCCTTTAAATCTTCGCTGTCTTGACATGTACTGATGTGCTTCTCACTCTATGTGATCTTTAGCATTCTTATTACTTTAATTAATCAAAGTGTGGGATCATTTGTTATAAAACTCAATCCAAGCAGCTAAAAACAGAAATATTTCTCCATCTACTTTCACTTGTAATATATTGATAATTAAACAGCTTTAGGTAAGTCTCTTGGCAAATATGTCTGGGAAAGGATCAGAATGAATCTTGGATGAAATATAAAACAAAGAATTAATGTCCTAAAAACATTTCTGATTGGCTGATTAACCCTGGTGATAATATATAGATAATATATTAAGTGAGCCATGGTTGCAGGTTGCAGACCCCCATTCAAGCAGATGAGAACTATGATTCTAACTTGATATTGCTGAAGCTTAAAGCTGACCGTAATTTCTAAATAACTGTTAAAAGTAAATAATCAAGGCAAAACATTAAATTGGTCCAAGGGGCAAATCAGTTACAGATTCTTCTGTCATCTCTAATCATCATAAGACATTGATTTAGTAAATATCTTCTCAGCATAAGCTTGTCAGCTCTAAATTTCAGCAGGTATATAAAATGATCTGACAAAGAAATAGAAATCATCTTATCCCATCATCAAATTACCTCTTTAAATGAAGGAACAATGCCCTCCATTTAAATAATATTGACCTACTTATATTAAACTTTTTGCTGTGTGTATTTTCAGTACAGACAGATATATTTCGGGGTAGCCAGTCAAAAACCAATGTAAACTGAGGGATGGCCGAAAGCTGATAGGCGCCAGAACCTAGAATCTACACTGTTCCAACAGGAACGAGCACAACATCCATATTTTCTAAATAAAGACAAACCATACTTTCCTACAGCCTTTTGATTAAAAATAGATGCATATATTTAAACATCCATGCTGTCTAAATGGTATAGTGGACAAAATGTCAGGGGGAAACATCTTTTCCACTGTCATTACTTACCTACTTTTATCAAAAATTGTTCTGCATATCATTAATATGACGGATTTTTAAGTTATTATTAAAGTAGTTATTTATCTATGATTTCACTGAATTTTCTTTTTACCCCATATAACACAAAATTAGGGTCTTAAAAGAGCATAAATTCTGTATTTATAAACTTTAATTTTAGTATTTTGATGTGCTTAATTAAACACAGCGTTTTAGTTGTCAAGTTACTATTAATATATGAAAAATTTTAATGTTTAATAAGTTTTAACATTCCTCTTGATTACTGCTGTCACTGTCTGTATTAGAGGGTGAAAAAAATGGTAGGGGTGGCTAATGGTGGCCATGGCCACCTCTGGCCCCCCATCTAGCTCCGCCCCTGGCTGTGTGTATTTCAGTACAGAGGCTCTAACAGATGCCAGGATCAGTTCTTCTGAGCCCTTTGGGACCCTATTCTTTAGATTAAAGACCCCAGGAAGGTAAATGATCGCGGACCAACCTGTCAGCCAGTTCCAGCACATCATGCACATTTGCATTGGTCACCCTGACCGATCCGGTGTACATGAAGTGTATGACGGCCTCCACGGTCTCCGGGTCCGGCCCCGCCGCGGAGCTCCACTCCCTGAGCTCCACCCTCCCGGTCTGGGACTCGGAGAACTGTCCTTCCAGCAGCAGCTCGAAGTACTGCGATGCGGCGGACAGGACGCAGCGGTGGGCAGGTAAGGTGAGGTGCCTCTCCCCTCTGGATGCGCCCCTGGAGCTAAAGACCAGGGTCAGGTCGCAAAACAGGCCCGCCTTCCTCTGCTCGTTCTGCCGCCGGGAGAGCTGGCAGCAGTAGGCCGGGCAGGTGAACTCCTCGGCCTCCTCTGGTTCTCCGTCACCTGCGGCCATCAGTGGCGCTGCCTGCGCGCATCCGCCGCTCCAGCTGCTCTCCTCCGCCGCTCCTGCCATCCTGACGCAAAAACTCTAAGAAAGATTGAAACACTTCACTATCTTCAGTAGGAAATCATTAGAGCAACTAAAACAGGTCATGCAGGGTTAGATCAGAGATAATGAAAAACAACAACCCTCCCTTCCGTCTCCAACAATATCCCAAATACTGGATTCTCTTTACTGTATTTTTAATCTATATTATTTTCACACAAAAGAAACCCCACGTACCTTCTGTAAAAATAATGCCGCCTTCTATATCATAAATGTAGCAAAAGCTTCAACACGTCCTGGTTTCGGTGAAGTTTACCTTTCTGGATCCACCGGTTCCTTTGGCGCATGCGCATTACAGCTGCGACCTAGCCAACATGGACTTTGGAGCGTTTTTTGTTTTGAAACAAACCATCATTGCTAAGACACAACATCTCTGTTTATTGTGATCCAGATTATAGTGGTCAGAACGGAATAAAAACTTTTTTTTTTAGATTAAACATACTGAGCAAAACAAAATAAAGATATTTGCATTTATTTCTTAATGATGTGAACAAAAATATTGACTAAAGGTACACTGATTGCTTATTTCATGTTTAATTTTTAATTTCAAATAAAATTGTATCTAGATACTCCTTTTGTGTTATTAAAAAAATGTAAGTTAATTTTAATGATAATATATATGCTTGACCAACACAAACTATAGATGTGAAATTGAAGAATACCATTATAAAAATATCTGATAAGTTTATATTTATATATTTGTAGAGCCCCCTCTTGCTGCAGAGAGAGGGAAACTTAACAATTCCTCTTTGCAAAACAGCTAAAGCCAGTGAGATCACATGATTGGGCAATGTTGGTGCATTAGAATAGAATTCAACTTCTATTGTCATTATATTTTAACAAGGACAGAGCAATGAAATTAACTCTCTGCATTTGACCCATCCTATTGGGGAGCAGTGGGCTGCCATTGTGCAGCGCCCATGGAGCAGTGTGGCAGTCTGTGGGAGTGGGGCTTGACATCAGAATCTCTGGGAGCCACTAGGCCACCACACCCCTCTAAGCATTGTCTGATCAAAAGCATTTCATTGTGGCTTTGGGTTTATGTCTAGGATCTAGGTGCCTGTCAAACCATCTTAACCCTTTAGCTCCATTCATCTTACCATCAATTTTGACCCACATGATCATGCTGCCAACACAATGTTTCACTGTATGAATCAGAGGCTTAGTATGGTGTGCAGTGGGGTGTTCCTTTTAGATCACATGTAGGCTTAAAGTCAAGTTATACTTCCGTTTTCTGGACTGTTCTTTTTTTTCATTACAATGCTTTTGGTTAATTAAATTCCTTCTAAAGAGGCAAATATATCTGACCACAATGGCCTCCAAAGCCCTGATGTATTTAGAGATGGAAGTTCTCAAATGCTGCTTCCATCTCTGAATTGGGTGACCTCTGAAGGTGCAGTGGCATTTAAAAAAAAAAAAATCTAATCCTCTTTGCACTTTTATGACAAAAACAAAAGCATAATTTTCCTTAAAGCTGAAATTCCTCTACTTCATTGTGTTGATCTACAACCCAACACCGCACTACAGATGTTACAAATGTGTGTTTTTAACGTGACAATTGAAGAGGTTTAGGAACTATAAATACCTGATGCAATATATTTGAAATCATTGCAGAAAACTGCTCAACATGAATACAGGATTAGAAAGGAAACATTTACTTATTTAACAAAAATGCAAATTGTTATCCTACCCCAGTTGCATGGTACATTTTATTAATATTAATTAACATATGAATAATAAGTCTGTAAAAAGCCATCTATCTAGGTTAAAGCTTTGCCTCCTTCTGGAGGCTTTATTGGACCCATAGATCCCACAGAGTAAAGGGATTGTATATTCCCCTTTAACCTAGAAGGTCTCTGTATTCCAAGATTAAGATGTAATGCCATAATCCCCTTTAGCATTACATTAAGAAAACTTGTCTAAAATATTAAATCCTCCATCATTCAGGGGTTAATTAATTAATTGCAGGTTCTTATCGCGTGGTCACCTTCAAACCAATCTATTTTGAACGGCTCTAAACTGATACCTTATTTATTGCATGAAAAAAAAAATTAATACAAATGAATTTAAAATAAGTTCTTTATTATTTTTCCACTAGGTGTCAGCATATTACAAAAAAAACAAAGCACTTTTCACAGTTAAATAAAATAAGCAGAATAAAGACCAAACACAGCAGGCGTTACAGAGGGTTACAGACTGGTCAGAACTCGGTTGGATGTCTTTGCATAACTGACCTCTTATGTGTGAGAACTTCCACAAGTAAGGCTTTTTTTTCCCTTCTTTCAGTCCCTCGCCTAAAAAGGTATCTAAAGGACTCAATCATGAATAAAATAGTCACAAAAAGGAAGAGCTGTGGAGTCCTCCGAGAAGGGAAAAGAAAATAATTCAGAATGGCAAAACAAGTAAAGCAAGAACAAGGACAGATCAGGCTGTAAACGTAAATGTTCAGGAAATCAGAGCAGATCATTTGAACTCTTCCCAATGTTTAATTCCCTTATTTCATACTGGTGTTTCACTTTTAATACAGATGGTATATGTACACTATTTTAACAAAAACATTTGACCATAACTGCCTTTGGTTTGAATAGTGGTAGCAAATCCAGAGAAGATTAAAAATTGGATTTGTAGCCAAGGTTTGGTGCTTAAAAAACAAAAACAACAAAAAAAAAAAGCTCAATTGAGCACTTTTTAAAAGCCTGACAGTTAATGATGGTTAATGTGCATAAGTAGTATAAAAAGAAGGGTTACTGTATTGCTGAGCTGGAGCTGATCTAATATTTTCAACCGTCCATGCAGCCTATCTATCCAGACTGTGAAATTTTACTTCATATTAAGAGTCTATTGATTTCTGTACCATGCATTGGTCTGGCCTTTTCTCTCCCCCCCCCCCCCCCCAAAAAAAATAATTAATAAGTTACATGTCTAAATTTGTAAAATATCTCATCAAAAACTAAATCTTAAAATATCCTTCCCCTTTTTTCCCTTCTGAAAAAGTAAAATGAAAAAGTCTAACAGGATCTCTGAAACAGTGAGTACCATGACAGCAGCTGTCATTACAGGAGACGGCCGCCGTTAACACAGACCAAGCTTCCAAGCAGAGACCCCTTCAAGTTAACATGTTTACATGGACATGTGTTCAGGGAGCACATAGGAGATGTCATCCCACGGATGGCGGTAGAGACCCTGTTTCAGCCTCTTCTGATCCAGGTAATGCCCTAATAATGTAAAAGAAAAACTGTTCATCATCCTGTTTTAAATAAATGGGATAGTTTGAATCATGGCAGCGTTTTAATGAGACTCACCGATAAAGCCCATACTACGTCCCAGAACAAAGATTCCATTCAGAGCGCCGATTTCCACAAACTCGTCTGCTTCATCCCTGAAGACAGTTTAACATTCAGGTGAGAAACAGCACAGCAAAAAGACAAAAAAAAAAAAAAACTGTCATATTGGATACACAGAGTGCATACAACATGATTTTTTCAATGCATACAGCTTTTCAACGAATTAGCAGCTTACAGCAGTGAAATGAACATTACTATTTATAAAGTTCATCAGTGTTCCAGAATGTAGAGTGTATGAGAAAAGAAAAACCAGTTTAAAGTCAAAAGGTGCAAAAAGGCATTGATATGGAAAGGTTCAATACAGTGCAAAATGCAGTAGAACATTGAGTTTTGTTCTTTTTAAAGGGATTAAGAAAACCAGCAAAACAATAAGCCATGTAGTGCAAATATGATGAGAGTTTTCAACAGTTCAACATTTTGATGGCAGCAGGGGAAAAGCTGTTGCAGAACCTGCTGGTCCTGCAGCGAATGCTCCATGGTGGGGGGGTGTGAGGGGTCACTGATAATGTCATGTAAAGATGAGCCATGTAGACATTCTGCATCTTTTAAAAATAACGCGTTTGAAATTTTTCTCTCCACAGTATGCGTGTTAGGGGAGTAAATAATAATCGTTTTGTATCGATGCATCGATCCAACAGCCGACGATTCGATGCATCGATACGTCCGCAAGAGTATCGATTCATGTTTTTTTTTTTTCCCCTCCGGTCTATTTTTATCCATTTGCTCCTGGACGTAATTCTCCCTCCAGTGCTGCGGTGACGCTAAACCTATTTTGCCCTCCTACCTCGCTTCCTGGTTATACCCTTACAGCAGTGTGTTGCAGTGAGCTTGACACAGACATTTTTTATTTATGCTCAATATGGAAGCGTGGTCTGTGCTACACGCTTTGGATCTAGATACGGCCGAGGCGTTGAGGAAGTGGGGGCGAGTTTAGTCCGACAAGGGAGCGACATGATGGCCAAAAAGAGCGGAGATCCAGGTGGAAAAAGGGTCCCAGCGCTCTCGCGCACCTCACTCTTCTAGCGGGTCAAACTTCACGAGTTGTTTTCCGCAATCTCAGTCATAAAAACCAAACAAGCCGGCTTCCTGTCTGCAGCACTGTCTGCGGTCAGCTACAATTTGGGAGAGAAGCAGCGGAGCGTCTGTGGAGGGGCGGGTACATCTGGAGCCGAGGTATTGCACTGCACTCATTGCATTGATTTTGTGCAGTATTTTTTGTTGCTTGGCCTTGCAGAATCTAGACCGCAGGGGTATTATTTTTCAGTGAATGAGGTATTAGTAGGAAAAGGGGGAGTACAACTTCACTACTTCTGTTATTTGATGTGGTTTCTCAAAAAAAAAAATGCTTAACGATATTACAGGTTTCATTGATTTATTTCAAATGTGAAACATTGTCTAGCCTGTAAGGTGTAAAGAACCAATTAATCGAATCGAAGTGTATTCTTGAGTATCGAAAATAATTGAATCGTTGGGTCAGGAAATCGATTCTGAATCGAATCGCCTTGATGGGTGTGATTTACACCCCTAATGCATGTTCAATGTAAAAAGACTTAAAAGATGAATCTATGTTCAAATTGCCTTTTACTTCTAGAACCTTGATTATTTTTAGTATAATAGCGTAACTCACCCTTTAAGTGATACAAAATGCAAATGAACAAGGGCTTAATAAAACATTTCAGTATAAACACATCTTCAAGAAAAAATGAATATTGCCGACTAATGAATGTCTTCATATCGTTAGAAACCTTTTGCATCATTTTCATGCAGGGCCTCTGGCACATAAATGACTCAGCTTTGATAGAAACCTTGCATTACACAAAAAAAAAAAAATGATGTAAACCGAAATGTGTTCTTGTAATAATATACAGGCATTCGTTTCTGCTATGTCGCACACTATTTTTCTCTGGTTCAACCCCCGATCGTCTTCGCTTACCGTGTGAAGCCTCCGCAGGTTCTAAGCAGGTCCACAAAGGAAACACCAATAAAACCGTCTACGTTTAGGATCAAGTTGGGTTTCTGAAAGGAAATTAAAAGCCACAAAAATCATGATTTTTTTTTGAGATAAATATAACAATTAGTACAGTAAAAACTTTTAGTGGTTTAAATAGCTTTAAAGCTAAAAGCATCCAATTCTCTGAATAGTTGTATCTGAAATGTTCTAATTAGAGTCACATCATTATAATAATGATAAACTTTGTAATAATAAACTACCTTTTTTGATAATGGAAAGCATGGTTTTTGAATAAAAAAATATTTAATAACCATTAACACGTTTATTAATTACTCAACTGTCTTCTGTTCAATTTGTTAAATGAATGTGCATTAAACCAGATATATTGTGAAAATAATTTATAAGCATCATTAAGCCATAAAAGATATTTAATGGGTCAAAATAGCTAGAGCCACTTCAGTTTGTGACACAAGACGTAAAAAAAAAAGCACAGCATCCAACCTATACCTGCCTATGTAATGCTGGATAGGCATTTTCTGTTAATTAGGAGACTAACTTTTCAACCTGTGCTAAACTCAACATATTTAGCCAGTTTAGGACGTGACATTTTTCTGGCATTTATTTTTGTTAGTCAGAGTCATGACTTTTCTCTTCCCTTAATAAATCCAGTGAATTTTATTGAGATGTCTTGCTGAGGTACCTTGGATGTTGTGATCTTCTCCACTTCTAGGGCGTAGTCTAGCAGCTGGGTTGATGGAAAGTGTTGCTTAACAAAGTCCTTCAGTATCTGCACTCTCATGTCTGGATTATTGATCTGAAAACAAAGCGAACATTCAGTTGCCTTCTGTTTGAAGCAATCAACTGTATCCTTTTCTGTACTCAGGATGGTCTTATTCTCCTCAAAGGGATCGTTAACAATGCATGTTGCTTACTGATTTGACCCTGTGCCCAATGCCCATGATCAGCTTTCCATCCTTCTTCATCTTGTTAACAAAGTCCATGGGCAGCATGCCGCTGTCAAACGCCTTGCTGAACTGCTTTGCTGCAGCATCCAGAGCGCCTCCAAAGCGGTCCCCCTGAAGCATGTAATTAAAGCACAGATATAAGCTGGAAAGAAAGGTAATCAGTGAAAAACTGTACGAGCAATTGTTTGTGACACATTTCAAGTTAAACTATTTCAGTCATCTTATTTAGAGACAGATTGTACGCAAGCAGCACTGACGATGGTAAGCAGGCCGGACGTGAGGCTGGAGATCAGGTCTTTGCCAGCACGGGCACAGACGATTGTGTTGTGAGCACCGGAAACGGCAGGTCCGTGATCGGCAGTTACCATCAGACACATCTCGATGAACTGGCAGGCATAGCGTGGCAACCTGTAGAGAAAAGAAGCAAAAAACACAAAAAAATCCTGTTCAACATTCCAGAGTCAAATTAGTCTATGACCTATTTTTTAAGTGTAACCCAAAAAAAAAAAAAAAAAAAAAACTTGATATAAAATTTGAAACTCCAGATAAACTGATGGGAAAAGTTGGCAAAGGTCAAGATGAGAGGATGGAGCACAACCTGGAATTTACTAGATGGGTGGAATAAAACTGGTACAAGCCAATAAAACAGGAAAAAAAAAACACTACATGAGCTTCTTAGTTATAAGTGTTCAGACAATCAGCGTACTTTTATTACTCTAAAATGCTCTTCTAACATGGTTTCCAGGATGCTTTTCTAGACTGTAGGAACTCTGGTGTGAACATTGCTTCCTCAGGAAACTGTTAAATGACACTAACCTGCGCTGGAACCAGAGCAGACCCAGTACTCCTCCTATACCCATCTCCTCTTTGAACACCTCTGTGATCGCCATGCCAGCGTAGATGAGCTCCTGGCCTCGCTCGTCACAGATACTCGTCATGAAGGAGGCTGGTTTACGAATCAGACCCAACTCCTGAAAAAGGTTCAGAGAATAGAAGAAGTATTTTAACCCCTAGTGAGTTCAACAATCATTACATTAGGCTGCGTTTCTTACCCGAGCCCAGGAATAATCCATAGGTACAGTTGGAGGAGGAACTTCCTGAGCAGGAATGATTACGCCTTTGGCCACCAGTTCGTCATAAACAGACCTGTTCCATTAGAAACAATTAGTGAAAGCTCATAAAACAATTCACTGTTAAAAATGTCATCTTTGATTAGTTTCCTACTTGATGACATCCCCCAGCTCATCAAAACTCTTTGGCACAAAAGCTCCAGCTTCCCTCAACGCCTGGTTCTTGGCCACCGCCGTCTCTGAGGCCTGGTGGGCACAGGCTCCTGCATGGCCAAACTGAACCTGCAGGCGGCAGCATTACCAGGTGACCCCAAGAGTTGGGCAGTAAACACCAAAGCCACTTCCTTTTTTAATACAGCTAGAACAAACCTCTGAGGCAAACATTGTGGCGCATGTTCCAATACACCAGCAGACGACGGGTTTGGTGATCCTTCCCTCTTTGATTCCCTGGCAGATTTTGTACTCATCTGTGCCTCCGATCTGAGGGTCAGAGACAGAACATGGAAATAAGAGGCCTTCACAAATAATGGAAGAGGCCTAGGTAGGGTGACTCACCTCTCCAAGCACCACTATCATCTTAATCCCTGGAGTGTCTTGGTAGCGAAGAACATGGTCCATGAAAGTGGTACCTGGATATCTGGCATTAAAAATAATAACATAAAAATTAGTTCTACATCAAGTTTCAACAGGATCGTCAGGCTTGAGGAAACAATTTTTAAAGGAGATGCTTGTACCTGTCTCCTCCGATGGCTACACCTTCATAGACGCCATCAGTGGTGCGGGAGATGATGTTGTTTAGTTCGTTGGACATGCCTCCAGATCGCGACACATACGCCACGCTGCCTGGACGGTACAGTTTGGACGCCAGGATGTTGTCTAGCATGCCGCCTGTGTTACCAATCTTAAAACAACCTGGCTTGATCCCTCCAACCTGAGATGGCATAAAATAACATGGCAGTTTCTGGGAGTTTAATGGGAATTCTAAAATAAATAATACTTCATTAATAAATGATTCTAAATTATTATAGTAAAAAAAACTGAATAAAAAAAAAACCCCAAACCTTATGGAGGAGAAAAAGACCAATGATTGAAATGTAAAAATATTAAAAAGTTTTAAGGCCTAAAGTTAAAAGTAATATTTCAGACAGTCCCACACCGCACTCTGTAGTTTTTTTAAACAGGCATGTTTGTTGTTTTTTTTTTAAGCGTCGTACCGTTGCAGGTCCGATGATGGTGACGCCTTTCTCATCGGCAATCTTTATCAGCTTCCTGGTCTGAGCCTCTGGGATGCCCTCGGCTATGATGGCAATGGTATGAACCTGAAACATCAGCAGATGGATAGCTAAGATCGATGCCCGTCAGTCTGAATATTTTGGTTACCTAAAGGTTCTTGTGGTACCTGTGGGTACTGCATGGCCTCCAGTGTGCTGTCGTAAGCTGAACGCAGTGAAGCGAAGCTGATCATGACGTCGACCTCGGGGTGCTTTTTCATGGCATCAGCCATGTTCTTGTAGACGGGCAGCAGGATCTCTTTGTGGCCCCAATAGAACTTCTGCTTATGATCTCCACTAAGAAATGCAAAACAGATCAAAATAAAGTCAAACAGATAACTTATGAAAATAAAAATAACTAAATAAGGCAGTGCTTATTGATTTACACTTTTCCACAAAGGTGGATGTTTTAGACAAAGGGTGCTAAAATTTTCTCACATTGACTCTCGATGTAAAACTGAAAGTTAATAAATTATCCTGCTTTAGCCAATTTAAAGAAATTATAGTAAATCCATTTGTCAGACTTTTCTGTTAAAATAAGGAACATAGATTGAGGCAAAGAATTCAATTCAAATATATCTAATATTTATACATCTTATACCATTAAACCTAAGCAATGCAATAAAACAGCTAGCTCCCTCTAATTTATTCAATATTTCCTACATTTCTATGATCCTTAAAAGCATCGGTTTTGCATTTGTATTTATTTTTATACATTTATAAAATATTTTTTTTTAGTTTAAAAAAAAAAATAGATCTAATCTTTTCATTTACTATAAAATTTCCTTAAAGCATTTATTTAAAATAGCTAGTTTATTCTAACCCATGAAAAATTTGAGCCCCTTTTACTTTTTGTTGCTTTTTCCTGATCAAAAGCATTTCTTTCTTTTCTTTTGCTTTGATTTAATTAGAATGTGTTTTATTTTACATGTTGATAGCATGTAAAAACAAGATGACCAAAACTTTGAAGTCTGAAGACCAAAAAAAAAATAATCCACTCAAATGAAATTTAACTTTGAGTATGTGGGTAAACCTACGTAAAAGGGTACACAATGGCCGCCACAGAGGGTTGGTCTCGCGAGCACACGTAGTCAAAATCCAGCATGCCCTGCACGGCACGTGTCTGCATTCCCCAGACGATGGCCTTGGTGTGTTTGCTGAACAGTGTGGTTGCTTTGGCTGGTTGGAAAAAAACAAAAACAAGCAAAGATTCAAATCAAAACTGGTTTAAGAGAAACAAAACCAGTTTTTAAACAGATGGGTCAAGGTAAGTTAGGGAAACTGCAGCACTGGTAGAGTTAGCAAACAGAACAAGAAGGGAACTCTGTCGGAGGACACGCGGAGAAAAATCACACGGCACTAAACTGCAAACCATTTCACAATGACATTTAAACACACAGCAACTTGAAAGACATCAATGATGAGACATTTTGCTAAACAAAGTCCAGTCACCCCCAGATGTTTCTAATTTTTTGCAGAACATCAGGAGTTTACCTCAGTTTATCCACTCAGGGGGGGTTGAGGGAGCTCAGGCTGAGTCAGCAAGGGAAACAAACACGACTCAGAGCTTATATTTCATTTGTTCCTACAGAATCGCTTTCATCCCCCTTTAAACAGATCTCATCACTGACCTACAGTAATTTAGGTTAAAACTTTTGGTAGATTATTTTTATGACACAACGGTGAACAAGAGCTTTTTGTTTAGTCCTGCAGTTTATTAAATTAGTGGATTTAGGAAAAAACGATAAAGACTCTACCATGCCAAACACACAATAGACAGAACTTTTCAAATGTTACACAACCAAAACTTCACCAGATGCAGCAAATGTAACCAAACACTGGGGGAACAACAACAATAAGCTCAACATCTATGGCATTTCAAAAATGTGACTCTTCACATACGCTTCCAGTACGGCTGAACGTGAACACCTTTTTTTCATACATATGCAGATTTTTTTTGGGCATGTTTCACAGCTTGGACTTGGCTGCGCTTTGAATTTAGGTCAACTCCCAGAAGAAATGTTTGAAATTAGAGGTAATAATAAATAAATAATCATTCTGTCATTTTTAAAAAATCATCCAACTAAAGGGGAGGATTTAAAAACAAATAAAATGATAAAGATTAATTGGATTTGGTATGAAGATTTTAGTTTTAAGCTTTATTACCCAGCTCTAGATTCCAGTCAGTTTAGATACTTTCAAAATTAGAATGAAAGTCCAAAATCCCATTCTTTTAATAACCCTTAGCTGTCCTACATTGGGGAATGTTTTCCTTTGCCTAATGGACTGCTCACTCAGAGGCGCAGGAGAGCAAAAAGCCATCATCTGACTTTAAACTGGTGACCTTCGCAGCCTCTCCACGACCCCAACACCCTGCTCTCACCACTAGGACCGCACTCCCTTTTTCAACACAATAAAAATAAGAAAATTCTGATGTGTTTGACATCAAACACCCAAATTTTTCCACTATTATCGGTCTACTTTATTTTTAATTCATCACTACCACTGCGTGTTGCTGCCAGATATAGTGTTAATACTTTATCTTGGCAGAGGCTATATCAGTCCAAGTTAATGTTAAAGTGACCTAATAGTAACTTTAAAGTAGAGTAATTGCAGAGACTAATACTATTAAAATGTTTTTAATTATGCCTAAAAGATGGGTTGAACTGCAGAAAAGCATCCAGTTTTAGTTAAACTCTACTAATTAAAGAAAAATAAAATGATTGATTGAATAATCTGACATAATTCTGATGGAAAAATGATAAAAATAAAATACAACTAGGGCACCCAGTTCTTGTCATTTTCTCTTTAGTAATTAAGGCTGTGTCAAACGAATCATCAAAAGTCCATTACTTGTTCTAAATTTGATCGTTAGATAAACAGGGGATGTAATGGATAAACTTTGCCTTAAAGAAGGCACACATTGTGAGCTGCACTCATCTAAGTTATCAGCTCTGGTGGCTACTAGTTATAAATTTATCTGAGGAGAAATGCAAGGCATTATGGTCCCTTGAATTGAAAGTAAGACATGAGTTAAGGATAAACAAGAGGGGAGGGGGCAAACAGAGTTTTTTAAAGGGGTGGAGGGGCTGGAGGACAGGTCTCTCACATCCGTCCATACCTCCACTGCTGCACGAAGAAGCTTGAGCTTCTGTGACGCCACAGGAACAGAAATTATGACACAATGACAAGAAAGAAAGAAAAGAGGAATCAGCCAGAGTTGACTGCATTTTCCCTTCATTCACTACAACTCCTAAAATGTAGTGGAAACTGTGTTTCATGTCTGCACACACACCCTTCAAAGCACAGCATAGGAAAGAGCGTGCAAAGCTCAGCTGCTACAGGCCATGCCTCACTGTGCTGCTGCAAAGAGCAACAACTAATAGTTCAATTATGTCATAATAAAGAATATTTCAGCAAGCACTGAGCCATTGACTAACAATAACAGCAAAAAAAAAAAAAAAAATCTACATATTAATAGCAGAACTTCTATTTGCATAATAAAGTGATGATTTTGACATGTTCGGGTACCATCGTGTAAATGTGAGGCCTGAAACGGCAGCTGACCCAGTGAGAGCATGGCACACCTCTCGCTTACCTTTCCAATCACCTGTGACCACATTCTTCAGAGGCCAAAGTAAAGAATGAAGAGACTCTTAAGAGAAACAACGTAATGGAAAAAAATGTAAATAAGGAGAGTTTGTGGAGCAAAATCAGGAACAAAGATGGTCAAACCAAAGAACACAAAAAACTGCAAAGATGTAATTTGCAGGAAAAAGGAAGGGTAAAGGAAAAAAAAAAAAAAGAAGCAGAAATGCAAAACAAATTTTAGACAAACTAGAGGGGATTCATAAGTGGGGAGTGTATTACCTGGTGGAAGACCTGCTTTTGACTTCTTAGGCGGGATGACGTCATTTGTAGTTTTAGGTTCAGAGAACGAAGCCGTTCTAGTTGAAGCTGGAGTCTGCCAGACGACAGGAGAAACAAACACTTAATGCAACTAGAGCAAACTGGTTAAAAGAGCAGCAAAAGAGGAGACCTCATGGAAAACTACAAGATTTATGAATTCCTTCAGTTTCTAGAAGATACATGGAAAAAGGTTAACTGTCCAAAGATCTCATGATTTAGATAAATAAAAGGAAGATCACTTAATATTTAACAAGTCTGTTCTTGTTCGGACAGAGCAAAGCTGCACAAACCGGTTTATAGAAGGAAACCGGTTAACGATTAAACTTGCAGGACCGGATTTATATCCTGGAAATACCTGAATTAAAACCTAAGAGCCTTTTTCTACATGAAAATATCCAAATATCTTCTCAAGTTCCCAGTCAGGGTATTTTAAAAACAACTTGCATTGAAGACTAAGATTAAAGTCTAAGTGCTGGAATTCATATATACTGTCAGCAAAGACAGCTGCTGAAATTTATTTGGCAAATCTCTAAATAAACAACTCCTAATCTTGTGTAAACTGTTCGCAAAACTAAGAAAAGTAATTTACTGTGAAGGAGAAACAGCACTGGCTGCTTTAGTTTCAGGAATAAGTGCAGCTAAAACACCAATCATTAAAATTTACAACATTTAAATCTAGGAGCTCAGTTTATGAAGCAGAACTCGTTTTCTGAATTTTTTTCTCTCCAGTAAATCATTAACTGTGAACACAATGAAGTCAGATTAACAAAGAGTTAAAACTGAAAGCAAACATGGTGGCAGTATTAACTGCAGCAGATGAAATCATCATGAACATACCTTTGGAAAAAAAGTATTTAACTGAAACTCTGAGCATTAACATCCTAAAATAACTGCCTCCAGCCCTGTAACCAGGATTGAGAACACTGAAGTCGTGTCCTCTGTATTTTCCCGTTTTTTTAAATTATTATTATTACTTTTTTTAATTCAGAGAAATGTCAAGCTATATGATGAAAATTGTTCTGACTTTGATTGGTGTAAAGATCAGCATGCATTCTCATTTGTTTAAAAAATAAAATCCACAATCACCATATAAAATCACATTTTAAAACTGAGCTGAAATTGCATCCGACATTGCATTCTATTTTATTACATAGCTACTTCGCGTAAGTCAGCCGCCCATGCTCTGAACACCACCACATAGAATAGGCTACCAGTTTTTAGTGGTGGGATCTGGAAATGGAGGCAAGATGAAGAAATCTATGCTGAAACCAACTAAACTCAGCTTTGGAAAGTAAACAGATCAGGGGAAAAGAAAGAGAGAAGGAGGTGAGTTCATTTCACCAGTAAATATATCATTTAAAGCAGGACTAGGAAAAGGATGCTTATTGTCCTCAGCAAGCATTTCAAGCAACTTTCACTAGGATTTCCTTTTACAGTTGGAGCCTACTTAAAACTATTGATGCACACGGGGCAAAATAATAGAATTAAATATTTTAAAAAGGCACCATATTAGGATGTTTTTTGTCAAGTAAGATTTATTGCAATATTTGACCTCAGTATTTCAAAATCCTGGTGACGGCCCTGACTGCCTCTATGCTGAATGGGAGAAAATAGAAGATACAGCAGCATCCAGAATGTTTTTGGTGATAAATTTAGGTGAAACACAATCATAATACAAATGCCGGCTATGTAATACTGATGGATTAAAGTCCAAGATTTTTCTGCATCATAAAGGTACTTATGTTGTAAAGATTTACATGGTTCTGATTTTATTAATCATCAGATACAGATGGTTAATAATTAATGATTCAACACTAAAAATCAAACCATCTAATGGTTACTGCACTAGGAAGTAAAGACATTTCAAATGAATGTACCGCTGCACTGTTGCTGGCATTGAGGAGAAAGTTGGCAGTGTGGGCGGCCACTGGAGGCAGATTGGGGATTTCTCGGTGGCCCAACGCCATACCAACGATGGCCGTCATGTGGGTCTCAGTTCCAAACACATAAATAGGAATGCCTGTTGTTTTTCCTATACAAAAAAAAAAAAAAAAAAAGTTTGGTTTAAATAAAACTAAAAAAAGAACATATGATTAGTTGTTCAACAGCTGAATGCATACAGTAAAATGTTCCAAACTTGACATAATGCAGATATCCTTAAAGAATTTCACTCACCTACTTCCCCCATCACCCTCAGGCCTTCCTGATAGTTGGGTCCACCTCGCCGCACAAATATGGTGACCTCATGCTCCTTTAGAGGACCTTGGTAATCTTTAATGGCCCTGACGATGCCCTGAGGGTAGAAACAGGGAGCCAATATGAAGCACTAAAATATATCTTAAGGTGAAATTTGCTTTTAAACAAAATGACCAATATAGTTTCAATTATTGCTAATAAATATATTTGAGCAGAGATCTTGAAAGACTAACTTCTATCAGCTGCAAAGCACTAAGGAATATAGTCATAATTTTTACAGCCACATATAGCTGCTTCATTTATTGTGTCTTTCAGGAAAATAAGCAGCAAAGTGTAAAGTTCAAGAGCAAAAAACATGTTACTACCTAGAGATGTAAACACTCAACTTTACATTTCAGAAAGGAAATCAATATTAAAATAATGCAAAGTCATTAATATTATATCTTTCTCTTTATCACCTTTCAACATTATTGCCTCAAACAGATATTATTTGAACCAACACAAAAAGGAACCTACTTATAAAGTGAAGGGAAATAGCTTACCATATTATATAAAAATCCATTTTTCTTTTTTTTAATAAGAGACTTCCTTCCTATTCAAGTTAGCATTTTTTACCTTGAAGGTAGCTGCTACGTTGGTGAAGTTTGCAATACTTCCTCCTATGATCAGCACTTTTCCTGTCGGGAAAAAGAAAGAAAGATTTTGGTGTAATCTCAAGTAAAATTCAGATATCAGCAGCATCCATGTTGTCGATATTGGAAATATTACATTATAGCAAAACAGGCATAATGGCAGAAAATAGGTTCCACATCAAGAAGTTAATCATTTAAAACACACCGTTTCCAATCCATAGTATTTATGGCCAAAGAGATTGAAAGATCAAATTATAAATGAAAGAATAAAACAAAAACTAATCCGTTAAAAATAAGTTGATAAAACCAGAAGAGGCAACATTTCTATGTATTAAAAGCCAGTCTGAGTATTCAGCTTTGATTTAAAAAGGCCAAAATCAGTCAAGGTTCTGATGGAAGCCGATTTAACCCAAACACACACACAGAAAAGAAAAAGTTTTGTCTGTTCTCACCTTGAGGATGTTTCTCACGCGTCATTAGAGACAGGATAGTTTTTGCGTAATCGTAGGTCTGCTGTTCACTCGGTGCACCAGAATACTCTCCATAGTTTGCCAGCTCATCCACACCCCCCAGGTCACAGATTGTGTCGCTAAAATACAACAGTAGTAGATCAGAGTCTTAATTGAAGTGGAGCTTTAGGTTACTTATTAAGGGAAAAATAATTAGGGGAAAAACAAGGGCTTTGTGAGCAGCCTGCTGTTGCTACGACTAATAAAGATGGTGCAGGTACCGTGAGGGTGGTGGAGTTACGCGACTAACGGGGAGCAAAAAGTAGTGATCATCTGTCAGTTAACTGAGTTCACTATAAAGTCCACTTTATAGTCCCCGCTCTATATAGTGATTGAGGGATTTTGGGATTAGGGCTGACGTTCAGACACAGCCGACAATTTCAAAGCGATGTTTGCAAGTTCAAAACTTGTCATACAAGCTCTGGGTGTTTTCCCTTTTATGGCAAGGACACAATGTAAAACATGAAGAGCTGTGTGTGTTTCTACCTAAGGTGGTTAAAGCAGTTCTACCTGGAGATAAACATGAGTTTGTAAAGTATTTAAATTCACTGAGCTACCTGTAGACCACTGAGGCACCTCCTCCAGCCACCATAGTCCAGATCCTGCCTTGTGGGTTCAGCAGGGTCAGCTTCAGACTAGCACCACTCTTTGCATCCAGATCTGCGATGTAGGCTTCCTAAAATTACAGTCATCAGGTATCGAGGGGTAAGACTAGAGATATTTACTGAGATAAAGGTTTAAAAATTAAATGGATACCTCAGAAAAATAATCAACAAATAAGCACCTAATATTATATAACTCACAAGCTAAATCATGATTTATAAACAATGAAATTAAAGCAATGAAATGACCCAAGGAATAGAAGAACGGTTTTAGTTCCTTGACCTCACCTCTGGATAAGCCTCTCTGCCAAACGGTGGAGGAAATTCCACATCACCCCACTTGGCCTTGCAGATAAAATCTGCTGTAGCGTCAATCTTGGCTGCCATGTCGAGGATGTACACTCCATCCTTCGTAAGCACTGGTTAGGGGAGGAAAGTAGATTTTCACCAACTGTCACAGATAATTTAGATTAACCCATCTGGTCCAAACTACTGTGGATTCAAACAGATTCATAGCAAAGCTGCAGGAAGAAGATCTTTACCAAGTGGGTTGATCTCCAGGTAGGTGAAGTAGAGGTCCTCATACAAGTTGAAGAGCCCCACAATAAAATTGGCTAAGACCCTGTGAGATGGAATAAAGTCATGATCAGTTAAACATTGCATGTATGAGATAATAATCCGCTTATCAGAATGAAAAATACATTTTTGACCAAAAAACATCGCATCTCATTCAAGATATACTACATGTCATGTTCCTGAGACAGATGTAGACAAAAAGGATTATCTTTACTTTAAAAGGAAGTGTCTCTAAAGCAAAAAGGAAGAAATGCAAAAAAAAGGAAGGAAATAGCTAAAGCATGAAGTTTATGTTTAGCTGTGCTTAGTATCAAAATAGTAATCTAACTAACTAGAACTCTGCATTGGTCCAGAATCCCCTCCTGCCCATAAAACAAACTTTGGCATTAGATATAAACTAAAAGCAAACATAAAGACTCCGTACTCCTTCTTCTCATCAGGAACGTGTGTGAGGAGCTGCTCTTTGACTTGGGCGTCACTCAGTTTGTCGTTCACGGCAACCATCAGCTTCTGGGCCTTGGAGTCCACATCACCCACCTCCACTCCACCTTCGTGGTGGAAAAGTACCTGGTCACCCTCACGTGTGGCGTAGATGCACACATAAAACTCTTCATCCTGAACGAGTTAAATGTGAAGAAAAACACTTTAAACCTGTGTTTAGACACATATAAATATTTGTAGCATAATTAGCCGTTTGTTCAGACTGAAGCAAATAAAGTATATACAGATATGAATGTACTACTTGCTTATATATATATATATATATATATATATATATATATATATATATATATATATATATATGCACGTTTTTCTGGACGCATCTTCTTAAGCACTTTCATCTGTGAAAATAAGCATGATTTGGTATTCAGTGTAACTAGCATTAATTACCTGTGCGTGTGGAACAAATGGCTCAATAAGGAAGTTCCTCAACACACCTTTTGCCCTTCCCACCTATTAAAGACAGAAACATTTCAGTTAGTTCAACCTAGTTAGAAAGTAAGTCAATTAAACACGTTCAGGAAGTAGCACTCTATGCTTTGAAAGCAAGCAGGAGACGTGAGATTATTAAGTTAGCTTGGAGTTCAGTGAAGGGCAGTATGGCTTATCCAAGTTTCTGGTGGATTAGAATAGACCATTGTCTGAATGGAGACAAAAAAATCCTTTAATATATCTCAAATAAAGCTAATACTGGGTCAAAAAAGTTTAATGTAAGGATCTACAATCTAAGGAATTTATTAATGCTACCATGTTTATCGCTTTTATTAGACAACCTAGGATACCAACTCTAATCATTCAAAAATACATTTCACTTATGTAGTGCGACTTCATCTCTGTTCCCATTATAAAATGAAAGGTTGCTCATGTCATGAGGGTTAAACTATTCTGAATATTATGCCTCCAAAAGATAAACTGAAACCAGCTAAAAGCAATCTAACCAGTCTAATCAGAATATTTCATTCATTAATCCTCATGATGGATTTCCTGTATCTTTAATCATGGCCAAAAAATGCAAACATTAAGTTAGTTTATCATCGATGCAAAGCAGACAGAAGAACTGACTCACTGTGGTTTCTTTCATAAGGTGACCTTTCAGCCATTCTTTGACTCCCTGGAGGTCCAGGTTGATGCCCACCAGTCCCAGCTTCCCACGCCGTTTAATCAGCTGATCCGGCTTCACCACCAGCCGCTGCAGGAAGAACAAGTATCATCAAAGAAAAGGTACATCAAGTCACTAGACCTGTATGAACAATTGTGAACCATCTTGTGTGTGTGTGTGTGTGTGTGTGTATATATATATATATATATATATATATAAAAAAAACAAACAAGTCTCTAAGTGCTTCATTCCAACAGAATGAAATGTGTTTATACACAAACTGGCTTTAAGTCCTGTAAATTATGGACACGAGATTGGGGGAGCCTTGTGACTTTAATAGCTGACGAAACAGAGAAGAACAAAAAACAAGAAGGCTCTTGAACTTGTGAGGAGAGAGCTTACCTCAGTCAGCAGCCATGGGTGTTCCTGTGTGAGACGGGCCCAGTCGGTCTCTGGGGTTACGTTAGCATAGCGTAAACTGTTCTGAACAGGAGCTGATGTGGAAATGTATTTGTACAGGAACTCCTTCCCCGTCTGCTCTGATATGGCTTTCGCAGACATCGTATCGTCGGACAGCAGAGGACCTATAGGAGGGGGAAAGAATAAAAACTACTAAGTTTGCAGAGAATTAGATATTTTCAACTGTGAAAAAAACCCAAACATTGTCACTCTATCAGATTATAGTCTCTAAATAAAAAAATAAATCAATACTAATAGAATTTCTGTGCAAATAGAATTCCGAACTGCAACAAAACTGAGCGGAGCCTTTAAATCCATAAAGTCCAGAAAAGCCAAGTGTTCTCAAATAAAAGCTAATAAATCAGCATTTACACTACAGTGTCCCACTGATAGTTAAAATTTAAATGCTGCAGAAAGCTTAGCAGTTTGCAGAGCCCCATACACTGTTACTTTGGGAGGACAATCAAGACCTAAGTCCCATAATGATTCCCTGGTAGTACAAGCTGACCCCCACTCCCTAAAGAATGAGGGTCTTTCTTTTAGTCACATGACTCAGGATGCACGGCAACATATGGGGAAGGGGCCACACAGTGTCTCTTTATAAAAAATAAAAAAACAGTATTTTCTGATATCTCAATAAAAAGGACAAACTGTAGGCATCAGACCAAACATTTTAAAAACTTGTTTAAACAGTCAGAGAAACCCTAAATATTTATAAAACCTGCTAGCTTCTGGACAAGTTATTATGAGAACTGAATTTTGTTTGTCTTTTGTTTTATTCATTTAGAATAACCCCTACAAATGTGGCATCAGTGGAAAGCCTTTTACAGGACAGCGGGACTACTATAGATTGTGATGACTATGTTTGCATCATGTCTCTTATTAAAGGATGAAAATTAATTGGTGGGTTTAAGGAGGCTATTAAACTGCCCTCATTTTAAAACAAGGCAGTATTATTGCCATATATCAACTAGAAGAATGTTTTAGCCCACAGAAAATCCACTGACTAAACTAAGATGGTTGTATGGGAATATTTAAAGCCTGAGGCTTATTTAAAAAAAAAAAAAAAAAAAACTGTGATGAAAATGAGCAAATAAAACATGGAAAATATAGATTTTCCCCCAAATTCTGACAAAAAGGTCAAATTAGGGGATTCAATTAACCAAGAATTTTATGCTTTAATTGGAAAAGTTTTTCCTCCAAGTTCAGTTCAGAACGGACAAGTGCATAAAACACAACTTTAAAAGTTTAAGCAGCACAACAGTACATTTCCATCCTGTTGAAAACAACAATCTCCTGTTCTTACAGACCTTATATCTTCTTATTTGAATGTCTTACATTACTGTAGTAATTTATGTCTCAACTATAAATCCTATGCTTTGCTATTGACACTGTAGCAAGCCACCTAGATTTGATCTATTGCAGCATATCCTCCAAGCCTCCTGATATAAAAATTTAAAATAAAACAGGAAATTGGGTCTTTTATCATTTCAAACACTCATACCACTATAAAAGATAAGAAAAAAAATACAATGTCAGCTTTTTTTCCTCCAACAAAAGCAGCAAAGCATTAATCTGGACTTGTTGAGGGCCATTGCAGACAAAATTTAACAATTGGTTTAGTGCAACTTTGAATAATCTAATAAATAACTTAATCATTTATTTTTTCTGTCTTCAAAAAGGCAGCAGGAAGTTGCTTGACTATTTCTATTTGATCAGGGCTCGCAATCCGTCTTATTTCATGCCTAAATGGGGATCAGTTCTAAAAATCCATGAAAACAAGATGTAATAACATCACTTTCAGAAACTAGATATTTTTATTAATGTATAAATAATATTGGATTTTCTCTTAAGTTGACTACTAATATACAAAAATAAACTAAATTGAAACAGCTGGAATATATGGGCAAAGATTGATTGAGTTTAAGGGTATGAAATAGTGGTAAAGTTGGAAAAAATGTGGGCATAAAATAGAAGTCCAAATTATAACCCACTGAAATATCTCACTCCAATAAACTTATTTTAATCTTTCCCCTTTTGAAATTAATTACTTAAACATTTTGATCACCCCGATGAAGAAATAATCTCACATCCTGAGGGAGATGATCATTACTCCCCCAAAACGAAACATTTTGCCTTGAGATTCCAGTTTTATCAGCAGCATATCCAACCTCTCCCGTTTGGCCAGACAAACCAACAGGCAGTGATACAGACTGCTTTAGGCCCAGTTCCTCAAGTTTACTGCTCCAATGTAATGACATCATTTGGTGACTAGCAGGGCAAAGTCTAAAAAAGTTTAAATAAGTCCAACACTTACCAGGAAGTTTTTATGACCTACTTAAATAAATTCAGCTTCTGTGTCACTGGTAATATTTTATGATGACTTAATAGGAGCTTCTTTAAGAGTAAGTTGGGGTCATTTTAACCTAAAGAAAATTACTTCTGTTAATTATTTAACCATTAAACTGTCCAACTATAAAGGACAGATGACCCAGTTTTCAAACCCAACATAATCAGTGTCAGACTATTGTCTAAAACTACTAAGCTGTGAAATCTGTCCTTTTTTTTTCTGGGGTAGAAACCATAGAAGAAGAGAGGGTCAGTGCCTGAAACTCATGGATGCCTCAGTGCTTCTTCTCCAGCTGCATCACGAACAGTGAGGGCTTATGAATGAGGCTCCTGAGCGCAGGGAAGTTATAATATGGAAATTCAACAGACATTTGCCGCAGTTAAAACATCTTCTTAGCTCCGTTTAAACCTCTTCTTCGGTCCGAGTAAATTTGCGACTGGTAGAAGCCGCTCCAGTATTTCAACTGCACCTTTATTACAGACTTTACAGTAAAAAAAAAAAAAAAAAAAAAAAAAAAAAAAAAAAAAAAAAAACTGCTAAAGCGTGTAACGGCTTCCTGTTTTCAAAATAAAAGTGTACTTTTTGAAGCTGAGAAGTTATCGAGCTAAAATGTTCATATATATATATATATATATATATATAATTTTTTTTTTTAAATACTTACAAAATTTAAAATGCAAAAATTAAAGGTGTATCTCATGATCCCAGTTGATTACATGACATATAAGCTATTGATCTAAAATGGTAATATTTTTATGTAAAAAATTTATAAAAAATAATTAAAGATTTAAAATATAAAAATGAAAAGTCTAACTTTTGAAGCCAGTGGGGTTTTATGATCCCACACTGTTTTTGGGTGAATCGATTACATGACCTGGAAGCTGTTGAACAAAATGATAATTTTATATAAAAATTCATAAAAAGAGAGCAAATATTAAAAGGAAAAATAAATAAATACTAAACAGTCATACTGGTCGCCTGGGACTTCCACTGGAAACAGACTTAGCAAACTACTGCTTTCCTTTAAAGAAACTGCTGGATAGTTTGCAAGAACGCCTAAGGAAAACCAATAATCTTTTTCCATTGCCTCTCTAAATTCCACCAAACCCCCACAAGCCAGCAAGGTTTGTTAAGACTCCTTCAGCTCGACAGCATCCCTTAATGCTGGTGTCCATCACTAGGTTGGGGAATTGCCACCACAACAGGCGCCGGAGACCTTACGGCCATGGCTATCGACGCAGAAAACATGGCCTACCAAGCCTCCCCAGCAATCGGGGTGAAGCTCTGCTGGAGGCACCTCTCTGACCAAGGGCTCCACCAGACAAGCAGACCCTCACTATTCACTTCGGCCCGCCAAGTCTGTCTGGCATCCTTCTCTTTCTGCATATCCAACTCACCACTAGGTGTTGATCAGTTACAGTTCCACCCTTCTCCTTGTGTCAGGTGCACCGATGGACATCCTTATGCTTGAACATGGTGTTTGTGAACAATCTTTGAGTCCGGCAATGCCAGACAGGGAAATGTTACTTCCATTGATTGATTAGTTTTTTTTTTGTTTGTTTTGTTTTCTCCTTACACACATTTTATTTTTTATGAAAATAATTGTATTTTCGCTCAAGAGCTTCAAGGTAATGTGATCAATGGATTCACAATCCGTGTGAGATCATAGTACTTCAACAGCTTAAATATTCCCCCTTTTTATATTTTGGATTTGAAAACCCTACACATTTTTAAATAGTTTTAAATTTTAGATTAATAGCTTCCAAGCACAAGAAAGTACACGTTTATTTTGAAAACCGGAAGTCAATACGCGCTGTAGCGGTTTTCTTTCAGCACTTTTTTCTTTTAGTGTAAACTCTATAATGCAGGTGCACTTGTGGTACTGGAGCGGTTTTCTGTGATCGCAGAGTACCCGGAGCGAAGAAGAGGTTTAACCGGAGCAAATAAAAGGTTTAAACGGAGCCAAAAAGAGGTTAAACGTGAGCGAATTTCTGTTGAATATCCAACTTAAAACCAACTTCACTGAGGTGGCTCCTGTACGGTCTACCACACCCACTCCACTGACTCACAAGGCAGCCAGGCAAGTCCAGCGACCAATTTAGCCTTTCTAATACTAGTTCACAACTGAATAAGCTACGAAAGCTACTGTCAGTTAATAAAAAAAAAGAAAGAAAAAAAAAACAGAAGCTGTCGTTTGAGGAATATCTCTTAGATCTGGTTGGCTTGCTTTAGCTGCAAATGTGAGCAATTGGCTTTTTACTTTCCGCTTTAAACCTCAAAATACCAATAAAAGGGACCAAACACTGGATCTCTGTTCGTGTCATTGAGTCTGGTTCTCTTTCAAACTTCTCAGCATCCTAATTCATACAACCTCAAGTGCAGGCAGGCTAGCTAGCATAAAGTACTAAATTAAAGCAAAAGGTTGCGTTTGTAAAATAACCAGTCAGCAGTAATTACCTTGTGAATAAACGTTACACCTCTTTGGAGTGAAGGATTCAAGCCTCTGGACCAACTAAGGCAGCTTTTCCTGTCAGTTCGCCTTATAGCCGGAGACAGTTTCAGCTAGCAGCTCTAACCGCCTCACTCTCCTCCTGTCGCACCATAATCTGCCCACCGATTACACGTCTGTGCCTGCCTCTGATTGGCTCAATCAAGGTCACGTGGTGACGTGAGTTCCACGCAGGCCATCATTAATTACAAACATTAACTTTGAAATTCAAAATTATCAGTGGAAGGTAAATAAATATGAAAAAAAGGAGGTGACCCACTTTGTAAGGACTTTGTGTTTTATTTATATTCACCTTTGTCTAAATTCGGTGAACAAATGTAATACAATCTAAAAATACTGACAATGCGACAGCTTCCCCATTGAAAGTGTATAAGTTTGTTTTTTTTTAAAGGAAAGGTAATCTAATAAATTTTTGCATGATTACATATACATTGTGTGAATTTTCAATGCCAAAATATAAAATACAGACAGGTTATTTTTTTTTCTCATCTGTTTTTATGTTATTTATGATAATGTCTTATAATTTCTTTATACACTCAAGGGTTGCAGTGTATATTGATCTTTTATTTCCATAATTTTACTTATACATTAAAGATCTCTTTGGTCTCTTTCTCTCTGAAAACTTTGTATTTACTTTTTTTTTTTTTACCACAATATTAATAATTTCAGAGGGGGCCCACTTGACTTGGCTTAGCTCAGAAGAAAACAGAAATGTTCATTTCCTGAATTTTTTTAACTAACCAAGATTTAAAAAAGAAGCAAACAGATTCCTAATATCAGATTGTAACATAATCATAAAAAAAGTTCTATTTTATCTTTTATTAAGTAAACTTAACAATTCCTTTATTTATTTATTTTTTTAACTTTATTCTACCATGAAAACAGATTTCATAGTATCCTCTCTCTGTTTATATAACAATTTTTGATTGATAATCTGTTAAACTTCAAGTATTTATGGGAGACGCCCAATGTGCTCCTGCCTTAAGCCTGCTTTGGAGATTACGGTCATGCTGCCAATTCTGTTTAATTGAATCATCAAAAGATGTGCATTAAAAGCAGTGTGGAATTTAATCACCAAAGGCAATCAGGTGCTGTTTAGGAGGAAGGCTGGTAGATGTTGGTTAAAGTCCTTTTCTAAGAATATGTGAGTAAAGTGAGTCAAAAAATATCTGCTCACTACAAAAAAGGTTAATTGATGGGAAGGAAAACAAAGTGTTTTCAGATGATAGTCCCATCACTGCAAACTGTGTGCTTGAGCCTATAATTCACCATGAAACAGAATGAAAAGAGAAAGCTACATTTGTTGACCTGAGTTTATTTTTTCCTTGGCTTTAGAGGCTGCAGACCAGGTAACCCCTAATCATTGAATTTAAGCCACTTTACCCAAGGAACTATTGTGGCTCAGGTGTCCTGTTGGGAGGAAACTTCTCCAAATATGGCTTCATGCCCATTTCATATCCGGAATCTTAAGATCGTTTAATTAAATAAACCAAATGGAAGTCATGCTGCAATAAGAAAATACTTTTAAACTGAATGTCTCCACAAAACAAAGACATGGTCTACTTTAGAATGGCCGACTCAGCAGTTTCTGAGGAATAAAGCAAGAAATGCAGAGAACTGGTGACTGTCATCCAGTTATTCTCGACTGAAATACCAGCACACGCGTGTCATGAACTGATTGATGTTACTCAGATGAAAAGAAATTTAGAAGCAATGGCCGTACGTTTGAACTTTATAGTTTTTGTTAAAATGCTTACACTATTAAAACTTTAGGCAGTAAAACTGTTAGCTCATCCAGTAAAGGTGTGCGTTTTCTTTCTGAGGAGTGATAATAAAAATCCAATTCACCTTTCAGAATGTTTTACTTTAATATATTAAGTTAAATTTGCATATTCATCAAAGTTAAAGCCATGGTTATTTTAAACTTTACTCATTTTAAACAGGGGTATATTATATTATATTGACACATGCAAGGCAACTGTTTTATTACTTAAATCTACAAAAAAAGAAAACAGTTTAAAACTATGACAGAAATTGAGACAAAGTCCAGATTTACAGTAAAAGACGACTTTTTATTTCAAAAATTAAAAGAAAAACAAAACAATTATATGAAATTATACAAAGACTGGTGGCAAAAAAAAAAAAGAGAGACTTAAACCTACCATTAACACCGGTCCAAACAGGTGGAACCGGTAAGGGAAGGGTTGCACTGAACAAACGTGCATGACAGGTACTCTGCTGGAGAATGACGGTGAGCAATGGCATGAAACCAAACCCTCAGAAATTTCACTTTAACAGCATGAAGACTTTATGTGCAAAATCTAGTTTTGCCCCCCCCTAAACAAACACTAAAACATGTTAGAGCTGGATGATTTCAGACACTAAGTGGTTAGCTGAGGGGTTAGGTCTGTGACCTTTAACTAATCCTGATAAGGCACCACTTAAATTTAACCGAGACAGAAGGACTGATGGATGAAATAGGAATGGCTTATATTGATTTGCATGGGGGGGTGGTATTTATTTTGGCTCATCTCAAAAAAAAAAAAAAAAAAAAATGCAGTGTCAGGGTGACAAACATGACGAAAATCACTAAGTTTGATGCTAAAAAAAATAAACAAAAAACAGGAAGACGGGATCCTCAGGGATTCTGATGCATGTGTAATAAATATCAACACTGAGGAAAGACACAGGAAAATGCACTGGATTACATTCTGAGTCAAATATATAAGATGCAACATAAAAAAAAAAAAAAAATGAAAAGGGAAAAAGTTTTGGCAATAAAGCCATTTAAAATCCAGGAACGGTGATGGCTTCCAGACGCCCTGAGGTCAGACTGGGAGAGATATCAACTGGAAAACCTAAACATTTACACCGCTTTTAGCATTTTCAAACTAATCCCAACAATCCACACTCATCCCTGACCAGCCTAATAAAGCCTGAGGCAGTTTTAAAATCTCAAACACATGTAACACAAGGTCAATATTAGAAACTGCAACATGCTAATGTGAGCTTTTACAAAAATCTTTAAAGATTCAAGTGCCTCTGTTAATAATTCACAAAACCACAACCTATAATTTACTTTTTCCAGAGTTGCTCAGCATCTGCGGAGGGAGTAATTGGAGAATTGGGTGCAATAATAATAATAATAAAAAATGCTAATTAAAAGATCAGTGGGCAGATACTTCAACACACTCAGGAGTATGAGTATCACAAGGTGACTGGGTCCACATTTATCTACATTGCAAGGAGAGGTTTCCCTTCCACTCGTGCTCATTTACGTTAACCAAACTGGAAAAAGAAATTTCCTGGTCCTGAGTCTGTGGAATAAGAGAGGAAAAAAAATTAAACAGGGAGTAACTACTTGATCTGTTTTATGGTTATTCAAACCTAAAAAAAAAACAAAACCAAAACAAAACAAACAACAAAAAAACATACCAGGGCTGGAATCGAAACTGAATCCTCCACCATGGCCACCAAAGAAAGCCCTAAAGATGTTGTTTGGATCAATATCTAGGAAAAAAAGCACAAATAACAGGTTGAGTTGGAGCTACTTCTACAACTGAACTGGAAAAACATTTATTGTATCTTCAGAGAAATTCCTGCAGGCAGTTAAATCTGTGTGCTTGTGGCGCCCTCTACAGACAGAATTAAACTTTTTTTTTGTGCTTTGGGTCTTAATATATAATAATAATAATAATAATAATAAAATGTGCTACTAATTGAACTAAATTATTTCATTTACCATTTTAAGATTTTTCATAGTTCCTGATTTTTTTTATTTGGACATGAGAATATATAAAAAGATAGATGATATCTCTCCTATCCTTCCTTGTCTTCATTGGCTTCCTGTTAAATCCAGAATAGAATCCAAAATCCATATAAAGCCTTTAATGGCCAAAAGTAAAATGTGAGGCAGATGAAAATCGAAACATTTTTTTTAATATGGTGTGCAGGAGGTCAAACAAAAATTAATAATGTTTTCCAATGCTGTAAACGTTTGTATAATTAAATGTATACAAAAATTTGCGTCATAGCCATAGATATCAGTGGTCATAACTTGCAACCAGCGTGGCGCGATGCCGTGCAAACAACGCGGTGGGTTTTTCTCGGAGCTTGGATCCCAAAGGGAAAAAAAGGAAGATAGCTTATGAGAAAAGAGGATTCAAAGAATGGACCAAATCATTTGCCTTCATTATCAATGCGGAAGGATTGCCTCCATTTTTGCTTTGTAATGAGAGGTTGTCAAAAAATAAAAATAAAAATTTGGAAAGGCATTTCCAGGGAAGGCTAAAGATGCAGCCAACCACCAAGCTTTGAGTCAGAGAAAAAGTGCGATTGCAGAACTTCTGGATAAATTAGAGGAGCGCAAAGATAGACTGGTGGATTGCATCTCCAAACTCCACTACTACTGATAGTTTCGTTGCAAGGATGGAAAATCGTCCACAGATCAAACAGGTAGCTCTCTGATGCAGGTATGTGAATCTTCTTCTATTTTTTCCCCCAAATCCTAAAACTATAAATCACACCAACGAATGCTGGTGATGAAGGATGTGTGAGAGCTCTATAAATCTATAAGAGGACAATTTTTCTTTTTTTCCCCAGGCCTTAAATGAATGAAAAATCTAAAATAAACTCTGCAAGAAAGTTTTATTTTTTTATCATTTAGGTAAGGTTCTGGGAGTTCTTTGAAGCTGTTGAACTCAAGTATAAGGATTTTAGACTGTATTATAGACTGTTTTATACTCATTTAGTTACTAAAAGTGCTCATATGGGAAACTTTCACAGCTTTTACATAGATTAAGAAGAAAAAAAACTCTTGACCACATTTTGGACCACCCAAAAACTTCAACAAACCAAACAGCTCACGTCACTCTCGTTTTAATGCCTTTGCTCGGCTCATCTCATTTTAGAATTAGTTTCGACTCCATGTCCCTAACTTTCAGCACCTTGCATGTTTAACCATGAACCTTTATTACTACCAGATACTTAAAGCCATATATTTTAACTTATTTATTTTAAGACATTTTTTATTCAAATATACCTTTTTTTTATTTCTTAAAATATTGGGTTTGTATTTAAATATATACCTCAAACTTGCTCTTCCTTATGTTTTATTTTAATACAGCTTTTACTCTAGATCTCTTATAATTAAAATGTTAATGTAGTATTTTTCTATCCTTAATTTTCTATTTTGACACTTGAGGTTTAAAAAAAAATGAAGAAATGTTTTTTTTAATTCTGTGTTGGATGTAATAGTTTGGATTTTTGTGACAGCCAACCTTTGGAAACATTTGCCTCAAACATAACGGTCAAATAACCCGAGGATTTCTACACACAAACAAAGAAATAGAAGCTTGTGTAAAAACCATTCACCTCCACCATCAAAGCAGCCATCATTATCCAAGTCATGTCCGTTATCATAGCGGCTCTTCTTCTTTGGATCAGAGAGGACTGTGAAGGCTTCCCCTACTTCCTTGAACTTCTTCTCCTCTTCTTTCTGCACCTCTGGAGTTGCTCCGCTGTGGCGGTCTGCAAGAAAACAAACACCTTAAGTGTTAGCATATCTGTAATAACTATCCATCACCTATTTTTCCAGACCCTGGTAAATTTTACTCCATTTATCATGTTATAGCTTCAGGCTTCAAAGGATTTTAGTGGGAATTTATGTCACAGACCAACACAATTTAGAAGATGATTGTGAAGAGGAAGGAAAGGAAAACATTGGTGAAAAATTCAGCTTGCATTTAGTCACCTTTAATATAAAATCTGAATCCACTGCAGCTGACAAGATCATAACTATTCAGACGATACACAGCTTTACATCACATTGTCACCAAGTGACTATGAACCCATCAGAGCATTGGTTAGATGCTCAGAACAAATCAACATGTGGAGGCAGAATAATTTTCTCCACCTGAATAAAACCAAAACTGAAGCAATAACCTTCGGACCAAACGAGGAGAGATCTAGAGTTAGATAACAGCTTCAGATACTACAACTAAAATCCACTGATTATGGCTGAAATCTTGGTGTCATGATGGACTTAGACCTAAACCCTCAGAAGCCCATAGAGGCAGTGACTAAGTCAGCATTTTGTCAGCCAAAGAACATTTCCAGCATTAAAGGTCTAATGTCCAAGCAGGATATAGAAAGACTCATTCATGCACTCATCTTTTATAGAACCGATTACTGTAACAATTTATTCATAGGTTTGCCAAAAAAGTTCAGACAGCTGCAGCTGATCCAAAACGCTGCTGCCCGTGTTCTCACTAGAAGTAAGAAAGTAGAGCACATCAGCCCGGTTCTGAAGTCCTTCCGCCCTTCTGTAGCTCAGAGAACAGATTTTAAAATCCTTCTGTGTGTCTATAAATCACTGACTGGATCAGCACCTCAATACATGACAGATATGTTGTCAGTGTATCAACCTACCAGACCACTCATGTCTTCTATTTCATGCATAATCTGTTCACCCAGAACTAGAACCAAACATGGAGAAGCAGCATCTAGTTCCTATGTTCCACTTATTTGGAGCAAACTTCCAGAAGACTAAGTGATAAAAGCCTGAGTTCTTTTAAGTCAAAGTTAAAAACCCCTTTGTTTAGAACCGCCTTTCTCTGTTGTAGTTAAACTGTTAACTTAGGTATTATTAGTTTAAGGTTGTGGTCCAACCGTTTTATTTGTTTAACTACCTTCTTTTATTACATCTTTATTTGCTTCTACTCTGCTTTTATTTTTCTTACTTTGAACTTTGAACTGTCTTGGTACTGAATTGTGCAATACAAATAAAATTGCCTTGCCTTCAGAAGTTAGCCAATTAGTGAAGGAAGCCAACCTATCCTTAATTTAACCTCAGGATAAATACATCTGTTCTGTGAGAAACAGAAATTAATGTAGAAAAAGCATCGTGAAGACAGGTCAAGGAGAGATGTTTATATGAGGGTTAGGTTATATAACAGCATTCCAACCATCTCACAGCTTAATAAAAAGGCAAACCGATCATAACAAGGATGTCTACCTAAAGGGAAAAATGCATAATAAAAGAGCATAAATAGCTCCTCTCTTCCAAAGTTGAAATGATTTCAGTCTATTCTTGCAGATTTTGAAGCATATTGTAGGTAGAGACTTCTTGCTTGGTATCTGAGAAACATGCTGAAGGTGCTTCACACTTGGGGAGATCAATGGCACCAGTTACTGGTTAGGAATGAAGCATATTGTTGTGTAAATCCTTCTCAAAAGAAGACCAAATCTAATTTATCTTAGAAACTTTAGCAAGGTTTGCAAAGTGATGTTGACAGAGACCTTTATTTGAAGTTCTAAGTGAAGAGAAAGGTCGCTCTACACAATATAACTCTACGTATTATATTGGAGCCCGAGGGATACCTGGGTGGTGCATGAGGGCCCGCTTGCGGTACGCCTTTTTGATCTCGTCCTCTGTGGCGTTCTTCCCGACACCCAGCACCTTGTAGTAATCTTTCCTTTTGCTCTTCTTCAGCTCCAACTGTGCGTTCTTCAGCAGATGCTTGTGGTCTGAAAGGGCAGCAAAGCAGGACGAGTTTTAGGCATACAAACCTTCATATGTTGCTTAAAGTGGCCACATAGAAGACAAGCAATGCAGAAGCATACCTGAGGTTTTTTCTGTCTGGTAAACTTTCTCATAATCCCGTACAGCCTCTTCGTATTGTTCAGTGTCCATGTAGCTATGGGGGTCACAGATAGAGTGAAAAAAAGCACTATGCTGAAGCCAGAAGACAAACTAGGAAGAACGGATTTACATAACTCACCACTGAGCTCTTCTTAAGTAGGCCTTGATGTACGTGTCATCCAGTTTGATTGCATTGGTGCAGTCTTCAATGGCTTGGTTAATTTTCTTCAGCTGTTGGTGGGTTAATTGGTTACTAACTTAAAGACAGCTGATTGGAGACTTATTACCTAATGCCTCCATCACAGTGGTTCACTTTTACAGTCTAAAGTGTGTAATTCTATGCCCACTCATTGCCAGATACCTTTGCTCCTGCTGTGGCTCTGTTGCAGTAGAGTTTAGCGTTGGTCTTGATGTTGTTGGGGTCTATCGCCAGCGCTTCAGTGTACAGAAGGTAAGCAGCGTCATAGTTGCAGGTTTTAAATGACGTGTTGCCCTCATCTTTCTTTGCTTTTAGAGCTTTGGCATTCTGGATTAGTGGAAAAAAAAAACAAAAAAAATTATTTCTCTTCCAGCAGAGTTGCATGTACACTTTGGTCAATTTATTTTTTATAAACCCAACAGTATAGTGTGAATATACTGCAGACATTTCTAAACCGGTGAGGCCTTAAATAGACTACTATTTAAATCCTGGATAACAGAGCAGGTGAAGGAAACAAATGTTTAGAGAAGGGTAGATACATGATTGGATGGATGGGAAAAGATGAAAAGACAAGTCAAAAGATGGATATTTGACAAAAGGGTTGAATTTACAACAATGGATAGAAGGGGTTTTTCCATGACTGGATGGTTAGAGAAACGGGTCAACAAACATCAGGTGGATGGTTAGACCAAAGAGTTTTGGATGAACGGTCAAACAAATGGACGGATCAATGGTTTGGCAGACAAGCTAATTCATGAACAGGTAGACAGACCGGTTTAAACAATAGAACAAAATCCAGAGAAGCTAATATTTAACCAGGAAAAAGAAAAAGCTCTTTGGTCATGAATATCTAGAAAATCTTAAGAAAAAAAAAAACACTTTTACATAGTTAGGCGTATTAGTTACCCAGTAATTGCATTACAAGGTACATCCATTCGATTCCAATATGATCCCAGATAGAATAAATAATGTAGAGCTGAAATCAATTAATCCATTTATTCATAATTAATTGTGCATTTAAATAATTGTCAACTAATTTGGTCACTGAACCGAATTGATATTTAGAGTAATGAAACACGGAATCTAAAACATGCTATTTGTTGAAATAGTAAACTACTCAAAGCAATAATTAAGACAAAAACATTATCCATTAATAAATATATATATATAAATAACTTACTAATATCTTTTCTTTTAAGATTTTCATCAAAATGCCTTTCAAACTAATTTTAAACTCTTTTAAAAAGAAAACTATTTGCTGAGGTTTAAACAAAATCCTTACTGATCTATCCAAACTAACTTGTAATATTTTCAGAAACTGAAGAACTGCAACAAACTGTCTGATGAAAGTTATAAAAATGTTACCCTGCAGGCAAGTCGGGCTTTTTCATGATCAGGAGCCATTCGTAGAGCCTGGACGAAGAACTGCACGGCTTTATCAATGCAGTCCTCATAGTACAGACACAAACCCCGGACATACAACGCATCCGCATTAGTGGAATCCATCCTCAGAATGTCACTAAAGAAGAAACAAGCAGCTTATAGTTTCATTGTTTTACAGCAAAATGTTGTAATCGCTTTTAAAAATTATTATTAATTTATACGTTAAGAGGGTTTGTATAAGGCAGATTCAGGTCTTACCTGGCCACAGACTGAGCTTCAGGATAGCGCCCGAGAAGAGCGAGGCATTCTGCCTTGTTGATTTTGAAACGATGACATGCGGGGGCCAAAGCTAAGGCTCGGTCCATGCAGTACACCACCTAGATCAGGAGAACAAGGCATCATGATCCTCACTGCGTTAACTCTGCTCAGATTTGTACATTTACACGTGACAAATAACTGCTAAAGTAGGAGTTAGTTATTTATTGTAATCAAGATTGTAACATTTCAAATATTTGTCTCATTAATCTCAAAATTAACAGCAATCCCTTTTCGGGAGGGCATTCTCTTGAGATCAATGACAAAAAAAAATTCACCTTTCTGAAATCCCTTTTTTCAAAGCTGAATTCGGCCATTTTCTCATATTCCAGCAGTACAGCTGCATTCTTTTTCTGAAAAAAAAAAAAAAAAAAAAGATTTGGATCATTATCAAAACAGAAGAACAAAATAAGCAAACAAAACCGCTTGTGAAACAGTTTGTTGGAAGAAACATGTAATTATTCTACAGTCATAATGATTCTATAGTCATAAGCTCCACTCACAGATCTATTCAGAGCTTATTTTTAGACATGGACGGTTTTGATACCTCCTGCTTAGCCTCTTTGTTGGTTGGATCCAACTCCAGAACTTTCTGAAAGCAGCGACTGCCCGCCATGGCGTTTCCCAGAGACATGTGACACTTGCCCTCCCGGAGATGCCCCTGTGGGTTGAAAAAAAAAAAAAAAAGAGCACTGCCTCAGAATAAATATGTAAACCTTTTATAAATTAATTCTGTTTATACACCTTTATACACTAGGTAACAATGAGATGTTCCAAGAGTGGGGGACATTACCACCAACCACTTTAGACATACAATATGAAATAATGTTAGAGGAAGGATGATTTAAACTAATTGTGGCTTTTCAAACTTTTGAGCATCTCCCAAAAACTGACCTTCATAAAACGGTCATCTAGACGCACGGCCTGCTGAGAGTCTTCAAGGGCTTCCCGAAAGCGACTGAGCATCATGAGGGTGGCTGCCCTGTTGCCATAGTAACTGGCATTTCTGGGACATGTATCTATGAATTTCAAAGCAAAAGAACAAGGTGGATAAGCAAGGTTTACACACTCATTATTTAAAGTTTTTTGTTGTTTTTTTTTAAAGATGGGGCACGATAAAAACAGACTCATTCTTTGTCAACTGGAGGGTATGAGAAAAGCAGGGGTAGGACATTTAGACTGCTTACAAATAAAAAAAATAATCCCAGCAATTAGCTGTAATCTCACCGATGGCCTTGGTGTAATAGTTGAAGGCTTGAGAGTAATCTTTCTTGCTGTAGTATGCATTCCCTTGTTCTTTGAAGCCTTCCGCCTCACTAGAGAAGAACACACAGAAGTAAAAAAGGAAGGAATATGAAAACAGATACATTTTTTATTGTTAAAAAGATGCAAGTTACTCTGATAACAAATAAGATTAGTTTAAAAGTAATGCTGAAGGGCTATTTGGATTTATTCTACAGATGTGGTACAGTTTAATCATTTGGAGGGCTCTGCTTTGCTGCTCTATACCTGAAACTGGGGCATCGCAGCGGAGGGAACATACAATCCAGGACTAAACATAGCTTTGAAACGTTCCTCCAGCCATCCTGATAGGAGGACCAGGTGACAGAATGAAAATAAATCAGGACTAACACCAACTTCTCTCTCACATTAAGGGGCATGATTTGCCTCACTTTCACCACAGTAGCAAAAACAGAATAATAAGGGCCCCACCACTGAAGAAATATTTACAATCAACTGTATATAGACTTAGACTTAGACTTAGACTTCTTTATTTGTCATTTTGTATGCACAGGGTGCATACAGAACGAAATTGCGTTACATACAGCTTATGAACGTTGCATTGATATTACACTGGATGTAGCAATTGTTTATCAAGATAAAGACATATTACTTAGAGGTCATTTAAAGTACGTGGAAATGACAGCTGTATTAATTTTTTTTCTTTCGATTTGCACAAAAGCTGCTTATCCTTTTACAGTAAAAGCTTCTTGGAGCGCCTGATCATGAAATGGGTCATCATCCAGCATAAGCTCTATCAGCTTACATGTTCTTTGCTTTGTATGGGAACTAAAACTCTTTTGCTGGAATAGTAACATGAATGCAGAAAAAGTTGCCAGACATTGATCCTCAAAGATAAGAATAGAATAGGACACTCAAGTAGAATGTACTTCCAACCAATTTTGTGAAAATAGATAAGAAATTGTAAATGCAAAATATGGCTAAATAGCACACCCTTAAAATAACCATGATGGACCCGAATGCATAAAAGCTAAAACAAGCCCTGGAGAAAGGAGAAGGAAGTTAGAAACAATAAACTTACCATGAGTCAGCCTTCTGAAAGTTATGAAATGGTTTATGATATATAAAAAAATTATATCCTGTAACTTTCAGTCATGAAGATTAATATTCCCAAAAAAAAAATTAAAAACAACTGAGTTTGTGGTTTTATTCAGTAGCCCAACCAAGGCTTGTTTTTGTTATGAAAACATGCAAATTTGAACAGACCAACGGGTCCACCCCTTTGGAATAGGGAGGCTTCTTTTTTTTAGACTGCAATACCCCATACCCATCTAAGTGTCTGAAAGTTTGGTCTTTAAAGGAAATTGTCGAGGTCCTCCGCTCTCCTGTACAGGGAGTGGGGTTGCGATGATAACAGGAAGGGATCAACTCAATTGCTGCAATGAAAGTTTTTGGAAGCGGGAACCTGAGTCCATCCCCTCTGTTTAAAGGAATAGTACACCCAAAACATGATTAGCCTTCATTTTCTACTCACCCCCATGCTGAACAACACTCTGGAGTACTTTTTTGATATCTCAAATGCATCTGGAGATCTGGGAGGCTTCTTGCTGTCTGCTGACATTCAAATAATGGAGGTCTATGGTAAGGGTGCTCCGATTGATCGGTCACCGATCGTTATCGGCCGATAAAGGCTTTAAATAGTTTGATCGGCGGTCTCCATAAAGGCCGATCAGATGGGCCGATGAGACGCACTACTTGTTGGATTCACTCCTCCGATTCCTCTAGGGGCGCTGTAGTTGCTCTGCATTGGTATGCGACTGGAAGTGGTGAAGAAGAAGAAAACGGACGGTGGTCCGGTAGTGCATTTAGGTAACCTACGCGCAGCTAAAATAAAATCTTGTTTGTTTAAGTAAATCCATTTAAGTTTTATTTTTATTTTCAACCAAACAAAAAAGGTATAAAGACAGATATTTCTCCGACGCACTCAGGCCCCGGATTCGCGGGCTGCTTTCTGATGTCCTTGTCCTGGAAGCGACTGGCACTGAGCCCCCAGAGAAAGTCGAGCTGGCTCCTTAAACGCTATGTAGGCTGAGTTGTTGGATGAAGACGGGGAACATGGTGGCGGTGACATCAGCAGCTCAACATCATCGCAGATTAACCTCTACGTATCAGAGCCAGTCATCCCACGGAGCGGACAGCCGCTTGTTTTTTGGCGAGACAATAAAAGTCGTTTCCCCGCTCTCGCACAAGCAGCACAAGCCTACCTCTGGGCTCCGTACACAAGTGTAGATAGTGAGCGACTTTTTAGCACAGCAGGGAATATTGTAGATGAGAAAAGGAACAAGCTGTCTGCCAAAAATGCAGAGATGCTTATATTTCTAAAGCAAAATCTGCCATTGATTCTTAACAAGTAAGCTTTAAGAGAAATGGCTTTACTAATCTCTATTCCTCTTCTTTCTTTCTAATTGACTCATGATTTCCATGCTGTGCACTTTAAATGTATGTAGATTTAAAGGAGCTAAAAGAACATTTAAAGTTAGCATTTGTTTGAATTTTACAAAACTTTATTACTACTGAAAAATATCTGAAGTGATTAAAAGGACATTTTAGACTTTGAGCTAGGACAAAAAGCCAAACAAGAACTGATATATTATCTAAAGATGTGTGACTGTTCCGTCATGGCTTCTATTTTCAGTTAATTACCGCAGGACAAGCCTAAAATAAATACCTTATGCCTTTTTATCATGGCATCCCAAAATATTTGATTTTGTTTTCTTTGCTCTGCACTTTAAGTTTGTGTAAATTAACAATGACAGATTTTTTGTATCTTATTTAGAAATAAGGCTTATTTGTTAAGCTCTAAGCTGTTTAAGATGTTTCTAAGGAAGTAAAATGTAGAATGTTTTCTGTCAATAAAAGTATACAGTTGACAATTCACAATACATTATGTTCTGTTAATTTTAATACATATACATTTTTGTTAAGACTATTAAAATTGAATATATGACATGATAAAAGGAAGGCTTCAGATAGACCCAGTGATCGGTTACTGGTGATCGGTGATCGGTTTCAACCAATACTGCTTTCAGCAATCGGTGATCGGCCCCAAAAATCCTGATCGGAGCACCCTTAGTCTATGGTGACCGAGACAGAAAGGTCCATAAAAGTCCACAAAAAACGTGTCAATATTCCTCCATACTGCTCTTCCAATGAATTCCAAGTTTCCTGAGTGGGTAGCATCCAGAAGTTACTCGAAACGAAGTCATTTAGAATGTTTTTAGAGCATAAACAGTAGTGTATAGGATTTCCTGAAAGCGCGCACATGCGCGATCACGAGGCTACGGAAGCCGGCAGACCAAACCAGCGCATTCAGCTCGGCAAAGAACTCATGCTCTTCCTCAACACTGAAGTCCTCAGACATTTTTCTTTCGTTGTTTCTTTCTTTGCACAGGTAAACAGCACATTTCTTCTTCTACGCTTGCATTATTGGCAGAGCAGACGCTGAATACGCACTTTCATCTGGCTTGGTCTGCCGGCTTCCGTATCGTCGTGAGCGCGCTTTCAGGAAATCCTATACACTACTGTTTATGCTCTAAAAACATTCTAAATGACTTCGTTTCGAGTAAATTCTGTATTCTACCCACTCAGGACACTTGGAATACATTGGACGAGCAGTATGGAGGAATATTGACACGTTTTTGTGGACTTTTATGGACCTTTCTGTCTCGGTCACCATAGACCTCCATTATTTGAATGTCAGCAGACAGCAAGAAGCCTCCCAGATCTCCAAATGCATTTGAGATATCAAAAAAGTACTCCAGAGTGTTGTTCAGCATGGGGGTGAGTAGAAAATGAAGGCTAATCATGTTTTGGGTGTACTATTCCTTTAAGGTTGGTTTTTCTTTCTTAACATACATGGCTTCCTTTACGCCACTCTCAAACCACCTATTTTCTTCATCCAAAATGTGAAAATTCTGGTCCTCAAAAGAATGTCCTTTGTCCATAGGGTATATGATTAATATTACAGTAATAAATGTTATGGGCAATCTAACAACAAGTCTAGCAACATTTTATTTTATTTTTTTACAGTACGAAGGCGGAAAATCTTCCCATAAATCCCTTTTAATGTAATTTACCTGATTCCTTGATATTTTGTCCATTTTATATTAAACAGCTCGCTTATTTTAGCACAAACTTGCCCCATCTGTGTAATAGATTTGTAGTGATAAGGTAATAAAAGCTGTCAGAGTTGCTACATCATCTGGAAGCGCGTTTTTCCTGTCTGTTACATAAGCTGCCGTTGTGACTGCGGCTACAAGAACTTAGAAGAAAGCTGGTTTAGATTTAAAAAGAATTCAAGGCTGGATATGTCGTTGCTTTGTCCGTTGATTTCATTCATAGTTAAAGACTTACTACAAGTAATTTTAGTTGTCATGCCAGTTATTGCTAAGGATGTTTTTTTATTTAATAAATTAGTCCAAGTGATTTTTGAAGCTAAGTAAGTTCAGATTGCCTAGATTTAGTCTGATGAGGAATAGGTTTATCCATAAAATAAGACTCTTACATCATGTAGAGGTATATGGAAGGGAAAAGCATTTGATTAGAAATGAAACATGGACCATTTCTGTTGCTAACCATGTGTTTAAACCAGGTCAACGCTGGGAAGTCTAGAGGATTAGCGGTCATGTCTTATAATTTAATTTTATCAATTAACACATGAAATGGGTCCAAAAAATATATCAAAACAAAGCTGTGAAACTTAAAACTAATAGAAAGACGACTAGCATGTTCGTTATAAGCTAGCGCGGGTAGCTCGTAACGCTAGCGATAGCACTGGATGTCATCGAGCATTTTTTACCACATTCGGACAAATTTGCTTCGTGTTTCCATCCGTTACAACCTAAATACGAAGAAAGGCAGCATTAATAAAGGGATTTACCGTTCCAGGTCGTCCTCAGCGCGGATCATAGGCTCTGGCTCTACCGGCATATCGATATCAACAGCTGCCATCTTTTCTGGAAAATGCGAAGCAAGAGGACTGCAGCGAGATGACGTCACATCCGCTTTTGTTTTTCTTTATGGGTCAATGAAAATAGGCCAGTGGTTCAGATTGTTCTTATGTAACCGCCCGCTGTAGGTCGTTCGACTGAAAATCTAGGATTTGTTTTTCCTATATCAAAACGTAGTTTAATTAAATCGTATTTTATTCATCTTTCAGTAAAATGGCGGTAAAACAGCAGGGTTATTGAAACATTTTGCTTATTTTTTGAAACAACGTTTTATTTTTTTTCTCCTTAAAAAACAAGTTGATTTCTTTCAAAAAGGTGTTTGTTTTCAAGGAGGTTTTTTTAATTAAAAAAAAGAGGTTTTCTTTTAAAGAGCAGTTTTTTCTTTTTAAAAACTGTTTTTCTTTTCAAAAAGCAGTTTTCATTTAAAAGGCATTTTTTTTGTTTTCAAAAAGCAGTTGTTTTCTTTAAAAAAAAGTTTTTTCTTTAAATTTTTTTCTTTTAAAAAAACAATTTGTTTTCTTTTTAAAAAAAAGAGAGCCAATTTATCCATATATTTGGGGGATTCGTTCAAAGGCACATTGAGCCTTTCTGAGTTTTCAGATAGAAATCTAAACTCTACCAACACATTTCCTATTTCCAAACACTCTATAAATGACCAAATCCTCACATGTTTTCCTCCATACCTAACAGTGGGCATGACCTGCTTCTCCACATATGTTAAGGTAAATAATCTCTAACACATTGTAAGCATTAATTGTCGCTTTGTAGATATAAGCCAATGAGTAACTATTTTTGTTCTCTTTTATATTTATAAAACAAAATCATCCTTTGTTTTTCATATTTCCATTTATTTTCTCTACACAGCTAGTGTTATTATTGCAGTTTTTAAGGGAGCAAATCTACCCAGTCAGTCCATCTGGCAGTATTGTGAAATAAAACCTCCACATTAAATCATGGAATTTTCTTTCAATCTGACAAGTTAAAATGCCGCCAGAGGGCGCTGTCGATCCAAGCAACCTTATTTTAAAGTGACCTTTTCTGTTCTATACTATTTTTAGAGAACTGAACTAATGTCAGGCATAACATTTGCACTTAATACATTTTTTGTGGTTTGTTATTCAATGTTTTTTAAACTTTAGTTGATTTAAACACAAGTAATTTCAGCTCTGTGTCCTAGATTTTACATGTCATTATAGAATGTAAAAAGATACTAATTATGTTCTGTCAATTTTAAATATTACGGATTTTGTCCTTATTGTTGGGACCATGTAATAAGTAAAAAAAAGAATAAATAAAAATAAGAGAGAAAAAGTAACAAAAGTTAGAATTAAATAAAAGATTTGCTAATAAGGAAAGAGAAGTACAACCGTAAAAAAACAAGACATTTATAGGTTAATGTTGAATACATTAATATTCTTAAAATCACATGATTTACATTATTGCAGTAAATAAACAGGTACACTTCTTGATAATCTTAGCAGGTGACATAAAAAGAAAAACATATTGCTTAGTGAGTCTCAGCAGTCATGTGCTAGATTTAATCTACAATGAAGGTGTATTGATTTTTCCCATTTAACACAACATAAATAACTCTTAAAATGTAGAATTTAAATATCGCTGAACAGGAAATACAGAATCTCCTCATTCATATTGCACAAACAGTATTCAGCTTTTACCTTACAGGAAACTTCATATTTTAAATCCACCTGTTTGACTCACTGTAAACAGCAGAGAAATGTTTTCCTTAAATAATAAAAGTCAGCTGGCACAATAAAAAAGGACCATTGACATGTAAATGTGAATGACATGTGCTCTGGTTTTTCCCATTTTGTAGAGTGGCAAAGAGAAATGGGCCTCTGTGTATTGCTCATGAATGTGTGCAACATATTTCCAAACAATTTTAAATTGGCCCCCAAAATATTTTGGAGGATTCATCACACTCTCATTCATGATCTGATTTTGTTTTTCTAAATCAAACGTCCCAATTTTGATCTTTTATTCCACTTAAAAAAAATACTTCAAATGGGGTAATTCAAAATGTAAACTTTAATGATTATACCAAACTACATATAACTATAACTGTATTTCAAACCATCTCCTTTTATACATCAGACGTATATCTCCATTTGACAGATGCTCATTTATTCAAGTAAGTACGGTGGTTGATTGTCACCCTTCTTTTTTTTCAAAACAAATATTAAGAGACACCGACACAGACAGACCGAAAAAGACACTGTAGATCCATAATCAGTCACAAGAAAGAAAATTAACATCAAATGATATTGAAAAACATTTCAACTTTGTGAAAATACAAAATTCTCTTCAGTGCAAAACTGCAGATTTCTGCTGTCAGTTTTAGATGTTGAGGTTGTTTATATTCCTAACATATTTTACAAAATAATAACACTGCATGGAAACAAAGGTTTAGATTTTCTTATGAAAACTAAAGCTGATATTTTTCCCCCAGAGTACAATTAGAAATCTCTTAAATGAAAGCATGTCTTTAAGCATTTACACTGCTTTATGTATCGGTTTATTGTTTTCAGTGATGAGACTAAAGAGATGTACATAGTTATGGCTTGCAGATAGGTCCAGACCCAGGGAAACATGCACTCAAAAGTCAAGTAAAAGTTAATCTTTTCTCTTTTAAAGCAGACAAACTTCTCTTGCAGCTTCCTGTCCTCCATCAACTGGCCATCATGTTGCTCCCTTTGTGACGGCTGTGCTTCAGTGTCACCCTGAAAGAACTGTATTTTCCACAGTAGGCCACGATCATTTTTTCCACAAGTCTAGTTTTGGCAAAGATGTCAACTCCTCTCTAGCTTCCAGCAGCTTGTGGTAATTGCTAATAAGGAGAGAAGATTATAGGAGCATGTGTTGCCCTTAGAGGTCCTGGAGCAGGCCTGAATAGTGTGGGGTTTATAATGGGACCTGGGAGAATGGCTGTAGGACCGACAGGCAGTCGTAGCGCCAGGGGCCCGGACGTCATGCTGCACAGTGCAGCTGGATTGAAAGGGCCAGTCAGGAGCCCTGCCGGCAGGGCTTTGGACAGCTGCTTGTGCAGGGCCAGTTTAGTCTGAAAGCAAAAACAGGAAAAAAAAAAAACTCAATCTAAGCACTTAGTGCACAGGGAAAGTAGCACATACCATATGTAATGCATTATTTAGATCAGGAATTTTGATCAAGCGGTTACAGAAAACAGTAAATCTTCACCAATCCCCAATAAACTGCAAGTGTGTTAGCACTGTAGCACAGCTAGGTGTAAAATGAAGTTAATAAAATAGCCAATAACCATGGGTTCAAAAGTAATATAATTAAACACAAATAATCCGTGTGTTTGTGTGTGGTGGGGGGGGGGGGGGGGGGGGGGGGGGGGTGTTTGAGGGAAATTCTCACCGCTAAGACGGCATTAGGGTGGAGTTTATTATAAGGGGTGAACTTGGCTTTGACAGGCCTCCCCGCCAAACGCTCCTTGTGTCTCCTGCTATTTGTGTGCTAAAAAAAAAAAGACAAAGCCATCCATTAAAGAACGCATCAACCAGGGAAACAGTCAACAAGTACAAAAATACAATTATGACAAACTGACTTTCTTTTAAGTTTTCATAATTGTGAGTTTTTCATGCAGCTGTAAATATTTGCCATGTCAATCCATGACCTGAATCCATTTACCTGCTTTAGTTGCGTCTCTGAGTTAACTGACACTTGGCACAGTTCACAATGAAATACTTGATTGGTGACACCCACAACCGTTCTGCTTTTGCTCCCCATGCGCTGTTTCATTCGACCCTTTGGTCTCGGAGTTGAGGCCAACTTGACTCTGCGATGCGACTGGCTGTTGTTCTGGCCATCCAGCATCTGTTTGTGCCTAGACCCTGATTCAACCAATTAGAGGGGACTGTGTAATGTCAGAATGGCAGGGCAGTGCAAGTAAGAATTGTTTTAACAGGCAACAGACATTACACTCTAAAGCAGTAAAAATGAAAAAAGAAATACCGCTACAGTGAGACTCTAGCTGGGAGCTGGAGTTGACCGTCACTTTGCATGTTGAACAGTGAAGATGCTTTTTGATGTTTTTGACCTCTTCCACCTCTTTCACCTTTGTGGCCTCCTCCTCTCCTGCTGTGAAGCTTCCCTGAAGATCAGAGTCTGATGGTGAACCAGTGGCATTACTGCTCCCATCTGCATGGGGGTCATCTGAAGGTAGATCAGAAAGCTGGGAGCCGTCTGAAGCTTCAGGGGTCTGGTGAGCAGAGGGGGGTGAGGAGGAGTCTGAGCATGAAGGCATGGGAGATGGAGTGGCTGTTTGCAAGTTTCCCTGGCTTTTTTCAGGATGCTGCTCGGATGAGGTGTTTGGGTCTGTGGACAGATTTGCAAACACAACAGTTTACTTCCAGCTATTGCTTGTTTTTCCACAACACTATCTTTAGATATCTACAGAAGCAGAGAAAATAAAGATCAGCAGCTGATGTTTCTGAGGTATTAAGATGAAGAGAAAGTTGGATTTTATTTTTTAAATGTAAAAGTGATCATTTCCATCCAGAAAAACTTGTTTTTCATAAGGCGACTAGTTAATTATGGTGTAAAACATTTGAGGTACTTGTTTCCATATACTTTAGTTGTCATTTTTTTATTTATACGCTAATAACTAACTCTGATTCCATACAATGTTTTTTATGAAAAATTACAGCATCCAGCTGGTGTAGTATATATATATATTTTTTGTCTTTTAAGCGTTATGTTTGTTCAATTTGTTAGCAAAAATTGCCTTTCTGTGTATATTTACATAAGAAAATCATATGATCAGGTTGATGTCACTGCACATGCGTACAATTTGTCAACAAGAAGAAGAAAGGGACGAGAGTGAGTTTGAAACTCCCAGTTTATTTGAAAAAGGAAAAGTACAAGATGAAGTGTAAAAATGCACAAAAACATTTTAAATATCAAGAGGGATAAAACCTGAGTCGTGTGGGAAAAGATTCGAACCATTGTAGTACTGTAGAGCTGGAGCTAAAGCTCGGGAAGCAGTCTGATGTTGCTGCAAATTTGACATACAACTGAGTACATGTCCTTGCTAATAGTGCTACTGGTGTTAGCATTGTTTTTAAGCCCTATATTCCAAGTCGGTCATTTTTCACAAGGCATTATAGGATGGAAAGGACTTTTTTTTTATTAGATGCCTCAATTACTTTTTGGTAGTTCAGTTGTACTGCCACCAGATGGCGCCACACCTTTTCACGACACTCATCACATCTGGTGCTGCAGTTCTATTTAGGCTAAAAACTATGAATGAAACACTACCAGGACGGACACTTGAAGTATATAACCTTGTTTTATCATGATCACCTGGATTTTTGTCTTTTTGGTGTAAGCAAGTAACGTGACTATGTACCTTTCGTAATTAGTAAAATTAGTAACGTTTAAGCTTTAACTGGATTAAAAAGATTTATTAATAAGCTTATTTTGAAACCCAACCCCAATATTAATTTATGAATCCTTAAAGTAGAAAACAGATCAAACAATAAGTATAATGATTACTTAAATATAAACATTATAAATTAAAATGGAATGTTTCATGAACTAAATTGAGGTGTTTTTTTATTTTTATTTTTTACATTTGTTACAATTCAGTTAAAGTATGCAATCAATGTTTTTATAAGTTAAAAACATTATTGGGGAGTGTTAAAAAAAAAAATCGTTATCCAGGAAATAATTGATAGCTGCACCCTTGATTGAGTGTAACTGAAAGCATGGGTCATTAACATATCTTGGAAATAAATAATGTTTTTTTCTTTTAGAGGCACTTCAATTCCTAGTTTTTGATGTAATGTCTGTGATTGTTAGCAACACCCCCAGTGAGCCTCATTATTGTATTCTGTGTATAGCCAGTTAAAGACAGCTATTTCTGTTTGCAAGGTTTTAAACATTGTATTGCAGGTCCTTCAAATTATGACCTGGATCTAATAAATCTGCAGCGTTCAACAATCAGTGTTTTTTTCCTCCTTTATATTGAGGATACTGAAGGAGATACTGCACAGGCTTCTACAGCTGCCTGTGCCGGGTGACCTGCTCAACACATGCTAGAGAGCACACGAAAAATGATTAATTTAATCTTAGATGTTCCTTCTTTGTGGATGACATCAACTTGCTATTTTAACTCAAGGTTTTTTAGATATTTAAAGTTGGCTAAAACAGATATTCAGGAGAATCCAGAATAGAGATGATGTCTAAATGTTCTCCACCAGCTTTGTTCTGTATTCTATCCTTATGGAAATGTTCGATTGCGCACTATTCCCTATCATCTCCTAAATTTTTCCACCCTTTCGTCTTTTTCATTCAATCGTAATCACTCTTCTTTTGTCAATGTGCCTCTCTGTCATTTGTTGGCTTTCTGCAGAGGCCCCATCCGTCACCATCAATCAACAACCATGGCAACCACTGAGTATAACAAGCTTATTATTATGTGCTTCGAGGGAAATTGATAGGTGCTGCAAAGAAAATGGGAGAGAGGGGATCAATAATGGAAAAGGAATAGCAGAAAGGGAACAGAGAGGAGGATGGTGATATTTTGTTGTCAGGTTGAATGAAAGGCTGAGTGACTGATGGCTAAAAGTAGTGAAATAGTAAATTGCTAAGTTATTACTGGAAAGGCACTCCAGTGTAGCCGCTTAAAGTGTAAGAAACCATTAATTAATTTACATTTTTCATTTCATATCGTATTAGAAGCAATATGAGTATAATAAAAATAAAAATCTTATCATTTAAAACCTGATTTCCTGAGATGCTGAAGCTACAAAGCACTTTTAAACCTTGATTCTTATTGCATGGATTTAAGATAGAGAAATTATCTTAAATTTAGGTCAAGTTTATTTACCAAGAAAAAATTATTTAAAATCTTATTTATTAAACAACAGCAGCTCAAGACAGCAATCAAACATAAGAACATATTGTTTGTCAACAGGGTTGACAGAAGTTAGTAAAGACATCATTGTTGGAGTCTGCATTTTTTTAAAAATTTTGATTTATTTTCTTATTTTTTCCTACTTTCTTTGATTCTGTTTTATTTTCCTACATTTTAATCATGTAAAGCACTTTGCACTGTCTTTGTACTGAATTGTGCTATACAAATAAATTTGCCTTGCCTTGCCTTTCACATAGCATATCAAGGGTCACTTTATTGAAAGCAAATGTAAATGCATTTTGCGACATGTTCCACATTGTAATCAGATTCTGATTCTATTCAAGCAGGGCAGAATAACTGAATGCTTTTTTTTATTTTAATACTTCGGAAGAGTGAACAGGAACAGGTTTTTAGAGCAAGCACATAAAAAAAATGTTAGAAAGGAAAGAAGTGGGCCAACTACTGAACTCACATTTACATTATTGATTGCATCTACGTAACTAATAATTCTTACTGTAAAAAAAAAAAAAGTATTAACAAAGGTAATACTACATTTTTTTTTCAATTATAATATGTTTTTTCAGATTTTTACTTCTTGATTACCTGAAATAATGATGCCATTAGGCAGTTTTCCAACTAAAAGACCATTAGTATCTTGTGTGAGTATATTGCCCTTCAAAATACCTGCACAGCTGAATTAACCCCCCCCCCCTGATCTAAATAGATTGTTCAAGATAAAGTTGAAATAATTTTGGCAATGGCAATAATTTTGCCATTGCTCAAAAGGTTTTTTAAAAGTCCTAATGTGGAATTCAAACCTGGAGAGGCTCACATGGAGACAAGGAGACAACAAGAGAATTTATTGGATTGAATGGATATAAGCAGACGACATAGAGCTGAGCATTGCTCATGATGATAGTATGTATGGAGGGTGACTAATGCCACAATACAATAAACTAATAATCATGAAATAATGACCTAAATGTGTGAGTAATTATTTAAAATGGGAAATAAATGCAGAGTTTATTTAATGATATGGGCTTAAACCAAATATAGTGATTTTGTTTTATGAATATGATAATTCTATGATTTAATGCATTATATCGTATTACTGACATGAAGCACATAATTAATTAATTTATGTCATGGAGTCATGGAGCGGGAACTAGAGCCACTTTCACAGAAAACCTGATGTCTCATTGGCTGCTTCTCACCAAATAAGATTAGACAACTGACTGGTATATTTTACTTTAAAGTCAATAATTTTACAGACACATGCAGAAATAACTCCCGAAAAGCCTTGCAATTTATTTACAACACATTAGGTGAGCAACTCCAGCCTTTATATCCCTAGTTTGGTCTGAAATATATCTAACGAGTTTACGAAAGAGCTGGCTGTGGTCTAGCATGGTGGGAGCTGCCAGAGACTTCAGTAGAATCAAAGTTTCAACCCTTTTTATTTATATCTTTTCTATTGAACATACTGACGTTAGAATAAAAGAAAACAAGGAAGAAGTTGTCTTATCTTGCTCGGTGAGAAGCAACCAATCAGATGTCAGGGTTTCTATGGAGACGGCCCTAGTCCCGCCTCATTGACATTGATGGATGTGTGGCAGTTTAAATTAATTCAAGGTGTGCTTCAGCACAGTAACATTAAATAATTGCTTAAATAATCAAATAACTGTATTCACTTCTTAAAATAAAACCAATGTATAACTGGGGCTTATTTAATGAATTATATGTTTATTAAATATATTCTATATTTTTTCCAACTATAACAAAGGAATTACACATTTAAACAATTATTTCATAGGTTACTTATTTATATTCATCGCCCTCCTGCTCATATGCATGATGATGAAAATGGCAGGGGCCTGGGCACTGGTGGTAGACTGAAAGATGAAGGAAGAGGGGAGCTGGAACGAGTAGGAGGTACACCAGGCTGAAGAAGGGGGTGAAGGTGGGTTGCAGCTGGTTGGATGCAGGAACTTGACCCTAATGAAGCGGCCTTGGATTCTATTGAGGAGGCTTGGAAGGCAGGAGAAGACTGGAAAAGTGGCTTCGGATGAAGTGGCATTCTGGATTTGCAGGTAACACTCGGCAACATCTTCCAGATCTAAAGCACCTCTAGGCTTCGCTTGTCCCTCATTAATAAATACACTCATGTATATTGTATAGTTGGGTCAGTAGTCATCTCCAATCAAATGACAGACAATGTTTGTGACAACTGAAGATTTATTCAGCCAGTGGCTGTATGTTTTAGGTTTTTAATGTGAAGTTCTTCAAAACAAAGGCATAAAGGATTAATGAAATTAAAGTTTTTCTTTTTAACACATCTCTATCAGGGGTGATCATAGACGCACCTGACACTGTTTGTCAGGTTTCTATGATGGTAACATTAAACTACATTTTGTGATTTCTTTGTGAGAAAGTGATGACTTTCAACTCCAGTCACAACCAAAGAGTGCAACACATCATCCTTCCTAAGATTGCATCTCTTCTTAACGCCTCTGGTTCTGCAGAATGTCTTCGCTTGATGGCTGTAATTATCTATCTGACAGAACCAGAGATAGCAGGACAGGTAATGGCTTGTAATTAACCAGCTGAGTGGCAGCTTCCAAAGCCGCACTGCTCATTCTCTTCAATTACAGCTAATTACCCAGAGGGTGGTGAAGGGGGATGCTTTTTAAAATAAGCGAAAAACTTATACCTGTTTTTTCTTTCAGCTGAGCATCAATCGGCACAGTTTCTTCCTCCTTCTGCCCGTTCTCTGTGTTTCTGTCTTTTTCTCCAGACAGCTGGCTGTGTCCGTTCTTCTGTCGATTCTTCTGGGTCTCGATTGCCTTAAGCTTTCTAGCATGCTTGTGACCTTTGTAGTGGGCCTCTGCCTGGGTCTAGCCATCGCAAAACCCCACACACATGCACACAAGGTGTGAACAAAAGGGCAGAAGAAGAAATCAGGATTAATCATGGAAAAACATATTCAAAAGGAAGCTGGTAAGTTAGCTTATTACATCAATACATTTGTGGAGAAAATATGCATTTGAAGTCACACCATCAGTTGGACAAAAATCATTCATGTTGCAGAAATGAACTTTAAAAACAACTGTTGCACTCCCCTCTGAGCATATATGCTCAAGTTTCCTCTGATTTATACTGACAGAAAGGGGCCTGTCTGGTTTGATGTAGCATAACATGACCTTAACATTATCCTCTTATACAATTATTACATTTCAGGCATATCCTGAATCCTAAAAATGGTGACATGTCACTGCAGAAACATTTTTTAAGACACCAGAACAGATTTCTGGGGAAGTTTAAAAACATATTTATTCTTGTTTTCGTTGTTTCAGCAAACAGGGCTAAATAAGAGCAGTACCTTATCCAAGAAAACCCACTGGGAAAGAGATGGATCTTTCTGGATGAATCCTGATTTAGTTTTATACAAGTGTGCAAGATATTTCCAACTGGCTAAATAGTATTACCATCTTGGTAACTGATATTACTGTTTTCAAACATTTATAACCCAGCCTCTCTGATTTTTAATTCAAAAATATCAACAAATTTAGCTAAATTTGTGGAAATTTGATTTTAATGAATAAAGGATACTTGGACTTAAAAAGTAATGCTCCTTTCAGGGGATTTTGAAAAAAAGTTCTAGCCGATCTTAAAGCATTTGTTTCATGACGTAAATCAACCTTTTCTTCTTGTTCAAAACAAGAGAAACACGGAAGTTTGCACTGTTTAAATTAATTCAATCTATAACAGCTATCCTTTACCATGGAGATTTAATCTTCTTGCAAAAAAAAAATGGCTATCATTTTTGCAACTTAATTGTCAAGACACAAGACCCATAATTCAGGATGAGAGACAGTGGGATATTTTAAAGTGCTTATTTAAACAAAGCAGAAGTGGGCTGCAGCGGCTGCGGCAGAGGTGGGGCACCGCCTATCACTGGAACCTCTGGTTTGACAGTTCAGTCCACCTCCATAGAACGTGGTAGGATCCAGCCCGAGGGCTGCCAATTAGATGTAGCATGCGCCGCCCAGAGTGTCCCCGATGCTGCAGTCCCGAAGAGCAAGCATGAATCGGAGCAAACAGATCACAACAGGAAGACTCAGAGGTCCAGAAGTCCGAAGCCCAGTCAGGGATACCGATCAGAACAGGAACATGCTGGTTCAGGGGTCCAGAAGTCCACAAAGAGTTCAGGCAGAACGTTCAGATGGGAACAGGCAAGCACAGTGGTAGAGAGGCAGAACAGGGCAGGATATCAGGAACACTACGAAAAGCAAAAACTGCTCTCTCCACTGAGCCAAGATAGGAACAGGGCACGCTCAGTGGATAAGAAGCAGAACACGATCAGGAAATAAGGAACACTACGACACACTAAAAAATCTCACTCACCACCGGTCTCCAAGAAAGATCGTTGGTACAAATTAAAAGCTATGGTGGCACAGTTAAAACAAACAAAGTCAGAATGGACAATACTTATCTTTAAAAGAATAACCCATTTAGGTTGTATTTCCCTGTTTCTAACTCAGTTCTTCTACTATGCCACGATGTGTATCCCCATATAGCGACTGTTAAGCTTAAATTGTTTGAGAAAAATCTTTTTGCACATTTTAATTTACATGCAAAGAAGACACCTCTAAACACTCAGCCGTTGATGCTGCTGTTTTCGTTTTAGAGAGAAACTCATAAACCTTTAGAATTTTTTTTGCAATTTTTTTTTCTTTAGTTTACTGAATTATTAGAGATAAAGAAAATATATAGCAACTTGATTACCTTTGGATATACAGGCCTTTCTACAGACCTTACAAACATAAAAAATAATGATAAAAACATTTCCATCAATATTCAGGAGCAAACTGAAAAACTACTTTCATTTCTCAGATAAAGACCCAAACCCACGTCCTAAATAAACAGATTGACCATGCATTAAGGTTTTACTCTTGGCAGTGTTGCAACGTAATTATTCTTGCACAAATTATCCACAAAGGCCAGGAATGCACTGTTCAACCACCAACTGCACATTCAGAACCAAACGTGTTCAGAGCTGATGTTTCTTTTTTTTTTTGAGTGTGAGCTTAGAGCAGTTGAACAGATGTTTCCAGCTTATCACTTTCATGATACTTGGATGGCTGCAGAAGCATGAAGGGCATCGTCGAGGGTCAAAGAAAGATGTTGGAGAACTGAAGCAGAGAAAATTATACACAAGACCTCTGGCAATGATGAATGTCAGTGCACATTAAACATTTTTGAGTCAGAGATATCGCTTTCTCTGTCTCTGTCTCCATCTCCATACGATCATATGATCTGACATGCTAGTGTACTACAGTAGGAATGAGATGTCTCAAACTGAGCTTACGTTCATTTGAATTCGGAAAAGCAATACATACCCAGCCATCACAGTGTCTCAAGACAAGATGTCTGAATAAGAAGAATGAAGACATCTAAAGACTTTTATGCAGATTAAGATGTCTTAGGACATTTTAAGAGAAAAATCTGAAGGCATGCACCCATGTTTTAAGGTATACAAGACTATGAGTGCTTTTTTTTTTATCTTAAGAGATTTGAATCTTAAAATAGCTTAAGACAGTTTTTGTAGCAAGCTGTCTTGTTTTATGATCAAAATAATGTTCCAAGTAAGATTTTTCTCATCAACTGCAACCCCTAAGAACTTAATTTCTACGTAGCTCTGAGGTATAACACCACTTTACTTTAAAACCTCTTTGTTCTAACTGTGTCCTTGTGTATATCAGGTCACACAAACACAAAAGTGGTGTTTCAGGTTCAGCTGGAAAGAGTCTTATTAGAAGAAATAAAGAACCCTCTTTGCATCTACTCTGTTGTTTCTAATACAAATGGCTGCAGGCTGTGGTGTGATCTTTCTAGTCAAAAATAATTTGAGAGAACAAATGTTAATTAATGTCAGGAGTGTCCAACTTAATTACAAATTAGGCTGACAATCTAAAAGATGATTTCAGGAAAAAGTGAGATTTAGACAGAAGAGATTTATTAGATTTATTAAATCGTCCTATTAGTTTCATCAAAAAATCAGGAAATGCATTCAGAATTTAAGGTTTCTTTCGTTAAGCACATTAAAAAAGTGTAATCTGTTTTTTTCTGGCTGTAGAAAAAGGGCCTCTTCCTCTCCAAGTGGTCTGTTACACAGGGGATAGTGACACTCCCTTGCCAACTTAAGCCAGCATATTTTACTTTAGTTCTGCATTAGATATGTATATCCTAAACAAAATTACAATTTAAAGAGACAGACAATATAAATGGCAATAAAACAGCCTAGAAAATGTCTAAGGAGATTAAATGTGAGCTTAAACTCAAGTAACATCAGTCGCATCATCTGTTGTTTGAGCAGGTGTGGATTTAATGGGAAATTACCGAGGATGGAGACCGTTTTGTCAGCTCTATGTTCACAGATGGAAAAATTGAGCATATCAAGAAAAGAACACTGTTACAGTGAAACATGGAGGAGGCTGCTTTGCTTCAAGGGATGCTATCAAGGGATTCTTGAGAGAAGTTGTGCCGCCCAGGGTCAAAAAGTTTGGTCTCAGTCACAGGTCATGGGTCTTCAACAGGATATTGACCCAAAACACACAGCAAGAAGACCCAAGATTAAGAGGAAAAAATTGGACTACTCTAAAGTGGCCCTGGCCTAAATCCTATAGTGTGTCTTTGGAAGGAGCTGAAACGCATTCCTGTCTGAGAACATTATAATGCCTTCACCAATCAGTTGAACACATGTGTTCACCCTTACTGTTGAACACATGAGGAAGAGACAGGCTGTACCGAACAGAAAACTGTCAAAATCTGTGCCTGTCCACAATAGTAGAAGGTATCAGAAGAAAACAGGTAGTCTACTTTGCAGTGCATGAGGTTGATAATAAGATAAGAATTAGTAGTAAGAAAAAAAAAAAAATCATATCATTAGCCATACCATTACTTGGATTATTGTGCACATGACCTGTAAAAGTAAAGATTAATCAAAACTGAGTCTTAAAAGATTGTTGAATCTGCATAAAAAAAAAAAATTAGAGCAAATAAGATGGCAAAATTAAGTCATTAAGTCATTTAATTTAAGTCATTAAATTATTTAAACCATCAATTTTAACAAAATGCACAACACAAGGGTTAATGATTACCCTAAAAAAAAAAACTTTATGGTCTATTTTGACTCACAGTTGAGTTGAAGCGCAGGTGGCAGATATTGCATGAAATGATGGGCTTCCTCTTGGTCTGAGACATCCCAAAAGTGTGGTTGATCACCGCTTTCTGCACTGGATCCATCTACAAAAAATAAAATAAATAAAAATAAAGCATAAAAGGTCATGCAACTACAGGTGCTTGGTTCCAGGTACTTAAAGATTCACCTCCATCCAGAAAGCCCACATTCTTATCTTAAGGTAATACATGTCAGATTAAATAATACTACTTATACTTCAGCGATAGTATCTAGGTGTTACTCTATTGTATGTCTCGTATCATGTCCGTTGGTTGTGCTGTTCTTTTTACATCTCTTTGCAGGTGATGAAGCAGACTGAGAAGGTTTTATCATTATCTCCCTTTTATCTCCTCTTTTCTCCTTTTTTTCTGTTTTTCTTCTTTCTTGTTCTACTGACATTGCAGTGTCAATATAATCTGTAAAACTCCCTGCATAATTATAATAAAGCAATTTATATGCATATAACAAGCGGAACAATATAGCAATAGCCCTACTGCTCCACTTGTGAAAGTAAAATCTGTTGAAAAATATTCTTATTGCCACATTGCCAGACAGGACACTGTTAAAAAATTAAAAAATAAAGAATAAAAAACAAAGGGTCATGGGTATTTTATATTGACATACACACAAAATAATTGTCTAAAAAAACAACAAAATGCTGTGTATTGCTAAAGATGTTCTAAAAAACCCCAAATACGATTCTCTTCAGATGGTTCAGCACATCTGTTAAAATAATAATAATGAATACTATAAGAAGTAGTATAGAAAATATTACACTTCAAACTTTTACAGTCAGTCTTTGTATAAATTAATTATGATCTCTTTTCTCCAGAGGTTTTTAGATTTTGGTCTTTGGACTAAGATAGCCATGGAAATCAGACCAAATGTTTTCAATCACTATTTCAATAATCACAAAAATGAACACACGTTCAGATATTTATTTAAAATATTTCAAAGAATTCATAATGCCATACACTCAAGGAAAGTTAAAAGGAACAATTAAAAAATATACAGCCCCATATATCCATCTACCAGTTTTGTGATAAAGGTTATTTTTTTGAAATTATTCTAATTATTATTCTAATATCATAATTTTAATCCCATGAGTTCACATTTTTCCCTTTAACTTTATTTAAGATTTTTTTTTTTACACATCTATTACAGGCACCAGGAGCCAGTTTAAACTGTTGAGGTTTCTTAAAATAGCATGAAAAAGCCAATGCTATGCTAGTATTACTTAGAAAAACAAAACATGCAACCAACCAAGAAGTCTAGGTCAAAATCTAAAATATTAAACCTCCTTTTTTGCATTTCACCTAACAAGTCAGGTTAATTGGTACAATGGAACCCCCATTTTCCCCTCTCTTCCTCATATCTGTCATAAGAAGGGGAGTAATAGAAATGTAATATCTGCCCTGCTCCTATTATTTTCCAGACCAACACTAATTTCTAGATTTTTGATTCTTTATACATTGATGAAGCATGGAAATTAAGTTGCATTGTTTTTGACTGAATCCACAGGCCTCCCAAAGAGGTATAAAGTATTTGGTTTCAACATGTCTTAGTACTAAATTGATATTTATGAAATACATATGAAAACTAAGCATGTGTGTTTAGTTAAAAATCTTGAAACCTAAATTCACTCTATTTAAATTGCCTGTTTGGATCAAATCCATCTTTATCTTTTAAATTCTTCTAAACCAGCTGTTCCATTCAAATGTATATTTTTAGCTTTAGCTTTCACACAGCGATAATCTCCCTTCCTCCCACATGCTTGATACCTTCAACAGGACATTCTCCGCTTTTTCTCCTTAAGTGATGACTCAGACAGAAGCCATTCCATTTATTTAGTATAAATAAACAGACATGCTTAAGGGATTGCTTGAATTAATATACAGAAACTTTTTTTTACATCATGTAGACACAATATTAAAGAACTGTTCAGTTACGTAAAATGACACAAAACAATTTAACAATTGGGATGAGATTACATTAAACTATTGCTCAGGCTACTGTGATATTTCTGCCTGCTTGGGGTGGTGGGAAATACGTTTAAATACCGTAGCAATAGCTGCAGACTATATTGTATCTAAATTATTAACCCAGTATAAATGCATATGATAAAAACACAAGAGACTGTGGACTTGTATGGAGCCCCAAAGGGACTGTGAAGGAAAAAAGCAAATTTTCAGGTGCTCACTTCACACTTAAATAAACCTTAAGAGGAAATAGACCTCAGGACCTCATACTTGTTTTATACAACTTTCTAAAATATAATGTTCATGTCAGGCAAGCAAACTGATGCGCAGAAAATGTTTTTTTTGGTTTTCATTTTTTCTCTTCAATTGCCGTTTAAGGGCTCTGTAACTTGACCAGTAGAATGCAAAGAATTTTATCCTATAAACATATATGAAAAATCTGAACAATATTAGTTAAAAAAACAAATGTTAAAAGATATCAGCCTGTTTCTAAAATCATAGGCATGCTAATAGAAACCCTCCACCTCTGTCAGCTTCTGTGTAAAGTTCTGTATCCCGTTGGTTAATAATAAATGTTTGAGTTGTTCTCATACTTAATGTTGTTGTTCTCTGTTTGAGTAACAACACTTGATTAAACCTCTTCTAACATTTCACAATATAAAATAGGTGAGAAAGGTATGTATGAATTGTGCTGATATTGTATCGGTCAATTCTCAACCCTGCAACATCGCCATCGTATAGTAAATGAAAAAGTTGCGTCTGAAAACCCCTAATTTAATAATTTTTATCTGGTTAATGCTAATTTTTGCATGTAATTAAATAATGCAATAATTCAACATTTAAAATTGTGACATAACTATCATGTTTTTAACAATTTCAGAATTTTCCTTACAATTATTAACATTATTATTTTCTTTGTTATGCTTAAATACTATTTTTAAATAACCTTCATCAAAGTGTTACATCATAAAATTCTAATAATCAGCTAACAGTTTCAAAAACCTGAAAGATCATCCAAATAGATCAATAATGCCAAAGAGAATTTTTCCCTAAACTTAAAATCACAATAAAATGGAAAGAACAAATCCTTTCAAAAATACAGTTATTGGCTTTATAACAACATAAGAGGTCTGAAGACGTGACCAACCACATTTAAAACACATGTGTAAACACGTGATTGTATTAGTATTCAACCATTGAATTTAAAATAAAGAAAACCAATCTTTAAATAATGTGTACTGTGTGAATGTTGTAGTCATGGCATCTTACAGTGTTGAAGTTTGGGAAGAGGCTGAGAGGTGAGGAGCTGCTGACCCTGAGTGGTAGGAAGTGTTCCAGTTGGGCATGGGTCTGACGCTGAACGGGTCGACCTGGGAGGGGCAGGGAACTGAGGAGTGGGTGGATCTGGTTCTGGGACAGTGCACCTGTAAGCAGACACACACATTTTGGTCTTTTACACAAAAACTGTACATGTACTTTTGATTGCACACACTGTGCCGAGGCCTGATTTTAGCAGCCGAATGAGAACAGGACCCTGGGAGTGGATGATTCACTAAGTAAAGCCTTAATGACTTCACTAATAGCAGGGGATAAATTAGAGGCTTTGTGTGGCCTTTTCCTGCTGCACAAGTCCATTGTTTATCTTGAAAAATGCCTCTGGCCTTTAAGCTGCAACCAGAGTATTTATAATTGCGTTTTTCTTTCTTCTGATTCTGGAACAGGATGAGAAAAGATCCATATGTTCTATTTTCAGGTTATTTTCATCCACTTCTGGTGTCTCCATATTTTCAGTGAGTCAGACATATTTCATTTTTTGAACTGGTGTAAATCTGTAGTTCTTTCTCTGTTTTGAAGTGGGACAAATATTAAACAAGGGTCTAGCTGCAGCCCATCTGGAGAACCTCCACATTAACTTATGGAACCATTAATTGAAATAATAAAAAATGATAATAAAAAAACAAAGGAAGCCCTATCCTACGGAAGAGGATTAGGGCCACTGAAAAGAAAAAAAAAGTTAACTGATTTTTAAATTTTGCTTCAGTTTAACATGGGAAAAAAGTCAGAATTCTGACTGAATTCTGACAATAAAAAAAGTCAAAATTCTGAGAAAAAAAGTCAGAATTCTGACTTTTTTCCCCCATACTATACTGAAATAAAATAAAAATAAAAAATCTGTTAACTTTTTTTTTTTTTTCAGTGGCCCTAATCCTCTTCCGTACTATCCAGCTTCCAGTGCAAATACTTGTTTTTGCATTTTTTTCCCAAGAGATGTTTAATTCTTTGGATTTAAATGCCTGTTTATACAAAGGAATGCTAGACTTTGATTGAAATGGAGGAAATCTGTAAGGTTTTGCTTGGTTTAAAAGCATGTTTAGCACTTCTGCTGATGTTAATATGTGTTGATGTTAAAACCAAAAGCAACAGTCTACACACATTGGCAATATTTATACTATACTTTAAAACCTAGAACTGCGACGGCAGTGACAAGGTGGTTCTACCAAGTACTAATTCAGAGAGCAAAATGTAAATTCAATCAACACATTGAATGTTTTTTATAAGTCAAACAGAAATGTTGCAGGACAAATAATTAACTATTGTAGAAAAGCTCAAAGGGTATATATATATATATATATATATATATATATATATATATATATATATATATACTTTTTTCTTATATTTGATCTATCCAAATATAAAAACCTAATTCAAAGTTATGCCTTAAAATGTTCTCCTACATTACCTGTCATCTCACCACACTCTAATCACACTTAAGTCCCATTGACCTGCATGCTTTCAGACTGCTCATGCTTTAAGAACACTGTGGCTCTGACCTTTGCATAGACCCAAAGGAACATTAGCATGCTTACAATTATAATGCATGGTGTCTTACATAAGTATATCTCATTTTTTATAATGCTAAAGCTATGTTAAAAGGGCATGTGCAAATAAAAAGGAAATTTGAAACTTCCCAGAGCAAATTTCAAACTAAACAAATAAAGAAAATTCCAGTTCAAAGAGAGTGAGTTGACCTATCAGTAAGGAAAAGAAGTGACTATTTTGCATTCATTGGAGAGACATTTTAGAGAATTAGAGTGTGAAGTAAGGAAGAAGCTTTAGGAATTTTGGCTTTAGCTTGATGGAAATGTTCAGGATAGGGCTTGATGAGAGAGATGAAAGGATAGCTTGTGATCTATGCCAAGGAAAACCCAAAGAAACTGACTGAGAAAGCTGGATAAAACACCAGATGTCAATCAGAAGTTGAGGGGAGAACTATGCTTTAAGAAAAACAAAATGTTAATCTTTATGGGCCACGGTGATGCCAAATGTCAAACTGTGTATTATTCTTGTACAAGGCTAGATTTAGTCCAATTCTTTTCAAATAGCACTAAAGAAAAGAAATAGAAAGCAGTTATTTTTCCACTTCTCTAATTCTTTTTCCAATGCTTTATATCAGAGTTTATACGCAGAGTGAGGCAGGTTGCAAAGCCAATCGCTGTCAGCATGTTTTTACTTCTTGGATGAAAAAGATTCAAAAAGCAGAAACATAAATAAGAAAAAAATGGAACGTGAAGAGTTATGTTTGTCAAGGATGTTGAAACATAAGTTTGCATGATTCAGGCTTAGTAGAAAAAGTTCAAGTATGGTGAAATGTCCTTGCAGATGAGCAAAAAGGGAGCAGATGCTTTGATTAGGAACTTTTCCAAGTATGCCCCAGTGATGTAAACACAAATTTAGCGAGAGGGACTAAATATTCTCTTTAACCTGGGGATGGCTTAGGATCTCCATGAAACAGTCACCAAGAGGAAAGTTAGCTGGAAAAATATTGTATATTTGAGCAGATGCAAATTTAAGTTTGACCCAAAGAACATTATCACATAAATCATCAAATATTAACTAAAGCTGTGCAAATGGAAATGTATGTTTTATGCTTCTTTGCTAAACAAATAATCAAGTGGAATAAATGATTTGGCTTAAGATCGTATAAAAGTGCAAGAATTCCTGCCAAAAAATGAGCAAAGTAAATAAAATACCTTTATGAATAGAAAAAATTGTAAAGAAGATCAAAATCTAATGAAAATAAAACACTTTCATTAAGTTACGGGCACCAGGTTAAACCAATGAGTTACCCTGGATGGACCAAATTTTACCGTAGGTAATAACATTTTTGATCTTACAAAAAAATGTTAAACCACAGCTAATACAAAGGAACATGCCGATGAAATCACAGATAATATTTTAACATAAAGACAAAGAAAAATAAAACAAAAAAGAAATAAATTAATATAGCATGATAAGCAAGTGTAAACTAAAGTACCAAAAAAAAAGTGTGAAATAGATATTATGCATACAGATTCTTGAGGTTTGTTATGTAAGATTGATGTTATTGTCCTATGTGGATAAAGAGAAGTTGAAGAGTTTGATAGATCAGTGGAAGAGCTTATTGAAACTGTTGGCAACAGCTTTCTTCACCCTTGTGGCCCAGCACATCACACTGTAGAGGGTGACAGGGGAGAGTGCTGTGTCATAAAACATCTGCAGCATGACCCTAATGATGTTAAAAGACAGGAGTTTCCTCAGAAAAATAGGCGACTCTGCCCTTTCTTGTAGAGGGCAACAGGTGTTGCTGTGAGTTATCAATGAAGACTGAAGAGTGGGAACAGGGCCAGAGGAGTGTGCCCTGAGGGGCCAATGTGGTAATCCAAGGTGTCCGAGGTTATGTTCTGCTGTCTCACATACTGGGGTATTCAAAAAGGTGACCAGCAAGTCATTTTAGCTGCATCTTTCAGAGCTTTCTGCAGAGTAAAGCAGACCTCATGATGTTAAAATCACTGAATTAGACAGAGAATATGAGCCTCACGGTGCTTCTGCCCTATCCAGCTGCAATTAAGCTATGTTGAGCAGGAAGAAGATTGCATGGTGAACTCTAATGCATGGTCCACTCCTCTGCTATCTGCAAAATATAGCCAAGCAATAGTGTGCAAAACACCTTTTTCTGTAAAAATTCAAAATCTTTTATCACTTAATCAGCAATCTTAAAACTTATTGTCTGGTAAAGCAAATCTCTCTCCATCACATCCATTTCAAGAGTCAAGTCTGAATGTTTTAGCATGATAAAATGTCCCCCAGGATTCATTCCACTTCAGAAGTTCACTTAAAAATTTCCTCACTTGATTCATACTATATTCATGTTGCAGAAATATTTCTTTTTTATAAATTAGCAATTATAGGTGGTAGATTTTCACCACCTTTGCTTTTGGCTGATGCATTTCTAGCACAGAGCTTTTATTTACTGCTTCAAATATTTTATAAGATAATTTGGAACAAATTATCATGTATTTTTCTTTGATCATTATGTAACTCTTTTGTATTTCCCACTAAATAATCGTTCAATTCCCATTACTCAACAAAGTAAATATATATATATAAAAAAAAAAAACCCAAAAAAACAAACAAAGTAAATATAGGCTTTTTAAACAACTTACTGTATTTATGAATAAAAACTAAATAAAAAGTTTTTCATTTTACCAGTTTAGTCTCCAAGGTTGATGCTCTGTGCAATTTCTCTATGATTTATTTTCTGTTATAAAGAGCTTAAGGGATATTTTTGCTTTGTCTAAATGCAATTTTCTTTTCTGGACAGCTAAATTATTGCTAAAACTAGACTTAAAACCATGAGATATTTGATATTTCTCTTTTGTCTTGCTATTATACATCTAAAGTTCGTATTATGGTATGAGCAATTTCCTGCTTGCTCATCTTTACGCAAACTCTTGCTTTAAGCTGGAAAGCCGAGAGTGTATGTCATTGAAGCCTTTCTTACAGAATCAAATAGAAAATAAAGGACTCTGAGCTGCAGAAATGACAGAATCTTAAGGAATGAAAATGAGAAATGTTTTATCTCTATTATTTTCAAGATTAGACTCTGTGTGACTCAGCATTTCAGTATTCATAGAATGACATAAAACAAGAAAAATAAAAACTGTAATTTTTAATGGTTTGTAGAAGAAAGCTTAGATAAGGGGTTTTCACAGTGGAGGAATCATGACAGGAAAGGCTCATTTACGCTTTTTATGGTTCCTACATTTTCTGGGATTATCTGAGTAAACCAGCCTCTTCTTTCACTCTGAACCAGCATGGCAGCATAGAGAGAAGCTCCTTTTTCTGATGCTGAATAAAATCCTCAGCTTCAGCTTAGTGGTTTCAGCATTCAGTAAATTAATGTATTAGGACTTTTAGTGATTCCTGTTTGCATATCCAATATTTCAACAGTAAGTATTCAATCTATGTTTAATTGATCAATAGGTGAGTATCAGTGCAGACAAAGAGTTAAAATGGTGTTGAAACTCGCAGCAGATTTTGTGACAGTGGGATATTAGGGCCATTGATTATGTGGCACTTGGTCCACAGAGACAATAAGTCT